CATTCACTACACATTAACACACACTCTGCATTCACTACACTAACACACACTCTGCATTCACTGCACTAACACACACACTACATTCATTACACTGACACACTCTGCATTCACTACACACTAACACACACTCTGCATTCACTAAACTATGCATACACTCTGGATTCACTATACTGACACACACTCTGCATTCACTACACTAACATACACTCTGCATTAACTGTACACACAGCATCCACTACACAAACATCCTGTATTCACAGTACACACACTACATCCACCACACATTGAAACACTCTGCATTCACTATACACAGACACTGCGTCTAATACATGCACTACATCCACTACAGACACTGCACCCACTAAACACATTTCATCTAGTACATACAAACACTACATCCACTACACAAACACACACTACATCACTGTACACACAGTATATCCACTACTCAAACACACTCTGCGTTCACTATACACACTGCATCCGCTACACAAACACACACTCTGCATTCACTGTACAAACAGTATCTAATACACACAAACACTACATCCATTACACACATTCTAATTCACTTCCACTATACACACCACATTCAGTCCTGCATCATTGTCAGCGGACCAGGTAGGGCGTGGGTGGGCCCGGGAGTGAGGGGGGGCCCAGACCTTGTGCTTTGTCAGGGGCCCCAAAATTTCTGATGGCGGCCCTGCCCCTGAGTGTCATAATATCCTTCTTTAGAACAGGTACCCAAAATTGCACAGTATTTTCAAAGTGTGATCTATGTGATCAATGATTTATAAAGAGGTAAAGTGATATTTTCATGCCAAGAATTAATGAGCCTTTTTATATATGACAATATCTTACTGACCTTAACAACTGCCGGTTGACATTGTTGCCAGTTTGTTGTCTATAACAATTCCCAAATCCTTCTTGTGTGTTGCTATACCTAATTCACTACTGTTTAGGATGTAAGCTGTGCATTCTTTACCCCAAAGTGCATAACTTTGCATTTATCTACATTAAATTCACCTTGCCATTTGAGTATCCAATCCCCCAATCTAGCTAAATTCCTCTACAGGGAAGTAATATCCTGCTCAGGTTGTATTACTTTACAGAATTTTGTGTCATCTGCAAACAATGAAACAAAACTTCCAGTGCCCATTTCAAAATTATGTATAAATATGTTATATAGACGCAGTCCCAGAACAGAACCACTTTTGTCCAGCTTGAGATTTTAATTTAATTACAACTCTCTATACTTTATCTTTAAGCCAATGTTCTCCCCAAGAACATGGATTATTATACAAAGAAAATGAAAAAAATTATCCTAGGGCCCAAATTTAGATATCACAAGGTAGAGGGCACAAAAGGGGTAACCCCTAAATGGTGAATATCATAGAGAATAAACAAAAAAAGAAAAAAAATGCCATTCTACCTGTGTATGATTTGCTGAGAAGATTATAGTCTTAAGAAAGGAACTTATAATAAATAAATCAAAAATCAAAATGAAAAATAATATGAAAAATAATATGAACAGCAGGAGTGGGGGGAGACTATACAGCGAGTTAAACTCTGTGACTACTTATATAAGCTGTAAAAGTGTATACATAATAGCATTAATGCTGAAGCAATACTGTTTGCTACAATATAACATCAGTGTATTTCCAAGTAATAGAAGTGATACTGTATTATATATCACTAATAGCTGTAACAAGAGGGGGGAGATAATGTCCGGCATCTCAGGAGTGCATATTGGAGACTAGAATGGCATTTTTTTTCTTTTTTTGTTTATTCTCTATGATATTCCCCAAGAACATGGATTTTCATCTAGACCAATTTCTTTTAGTTTGAACACTAGCCTATTGTGTGGAACTGTATCAAATGCCTTGGCAAAATCCAAGTAGATCACATCCACTGCAAAAGAACTATATTATTATTTGCTTCTGTGTAAAATGCAATTAAGTTGGTTTGACATGACATGCCCTTTATTTCATAAAACCATGCTGATATTTGCTAGTAAAAATGTTATTCCAAATGACTTCCTGAAAATGATCCTTTAATAGCCCTTCAAATACTTTCTCAACCACTGAAGTTAATCTCACAGGTCTATAATTTCCAGGAAAGGATTCTGAACCATTTTTAAATAGAGGCACCACATCTGCCTTCCTACATTACTCCGGGACAATTCCTGAAAGAAAAGAACCCTCAAAGATTAAAAACAGAGGTTCACTTATTTCAAAACTTAGCTCCTTAAGTACATGTGGGTGAACATCATCAGGCCCTGGGATTTTGTTTACATTAACTTTCTTTAATTGTTGTAGCACCTTGTCTTGAGTCATCCAATCACATGTTGTTTTTGAATCAATCATTTGCATAACACTTGCCATAGGTTCCTCTTTAATATATACTGAGGGAAAATAGTTACTGTATTTAAAATATCTGCTTTTTCCTGTTCTTCATTAATTCACACCCATCTCTAAGTGTACCTACACTTTCATTTTTGGGGGGCGAGGGAGGGGAAGGATGAGTCGTTTTGCTATCTTTGTCTTTCACTTTATTTTCTAATTTAGCCACTCTAATCACCTTTTGCATGCACATTTGGTTTCCATGTTCGTTATATAGAATGCCTCTGATTTGTCTGATTTAAATGCCATTTTAATTTCTTGGTTTACCTTCCCACAAAACCAAATTGGTTTAAATGTGTTTCATTTATATTTATTACCCAATGGTACATATTGAGAAGTACACATTTCTAATATTTATTTGTAGATATTCTATTTATCAACAGTGTTTTTTCACTAAAGCCTTTATGCCAGTCAATTAATTGTAAACCTGCTCTTATCTAATACTTTTTAAAATTATATGTTTTAGTATACCCCATGTGCATTTGTTTTTTTGAATTTAATTCAAGATACCATATTGTGATCATTCCCAAGTGCTTCCTAATTTGAATGTTTGTCAAAAGATCAACATTGTTTCTTATTACCAGATCCGGACAAGCATCCTTTCTAGTTCGTGTTTGTACCATTTGTAACATGAAGGTGTCATTTACCAGGTTCAAAAACCTGATTCCCTTTGCTGAACTACTAGTCCCTCAATCCCAATTTATATCTGGGTAATTAAAATCTACAATAAATAATTTGTTTTACTGTGTCGAAGGATGCTTGCAACAGTCCTGACCTGGGATCTGAGACCAGCCAATTCCATCTGGGTGCCGACACAACTTGCTTCCCAGCCAGACAGGTACACAAGAGCGCTCAAATAGAAAAGGAGTCAGATCCCTTCCTCTTTGCAGCACAAAAGCCAACACAGATTAGGGCACATTAGGGAAATGTATGGTGGTCTGCAGGATCTCCCAGTAATTATGAGAGTGAAGGCCTTCACACGAATAGTGCCTTCTGATGGTTGCTGAACCAACTGCGGTGGATTTTGAGGTGGGTCATTATATTGCTCCTTAAACATGCCAGGCTGCTGTCTGCGGTTTAGCCTTAAAGGACCACTCTAGGCACCCAGACCACTTCAGCTTAATGAAGTGGTCTGGGTGCCAGGTCCAGCTAGGGTTAACCCATTTTTTTTATAAACATAGCTTTCAGAGATGTGGAATAGGAGGGAAGATGTAAGTCAGATGCAATAGCCAATCTACTGAGAGAACAACCAGCACTATGGCTCTGGGATGGAATCTCCTGGATAAGAATACCGGGACATGAGTGTTCTGGGTTGTTGCCATAAGGTCTACTTGGGGAAGACCCCACTTCCGGATCAATTCTTTGAATATTCTTTTGGATAAATGCCATTCTATTTCCTCCACTTTGTGTCTGCTGAGAAAATCTGCAATCGTATTCTACTTCCTTGGAAGATAGACTGTCTCTGAGAAGACAGCTTCTGGTACCTACTTGATGAATGATGTATGTGGCTGCCGCCCTGTTGTCTTTCCTTAGTTTTATTAATTGACCCTGAAAGAGAGGTTGAAAGTGAAGTTATACCAGGTAGGCTGCCTGTTATTCTTGACGTTTGATGGCAGGTGATGAGTTTCGATAGGCCATGGGACTTGCACGAAGTGCTTTCCTAGATGAGCTCCCCATCCTGACTGACTGGCGTCTGTTGTAATGACTATACATGCAATTTCTTTTAGAGGAAATCCCACGAACAAAGGTTATAGAGTGAACACAATTTTTCATTTTCCTTTTCCAGATCTTATAAAGCAATGCATGAATCTGCACACAATACCAAGAAAAATTTAATGCAAAATTAATTTCACGTATCATTATTGCATGTAAAACTAGCATGAAATCTGTGTTTACTATTTTAATGTGCTTGTATATTAAATTAAACAAAAAACAAAGATTTATGGCTTGGCCTTCATGCTGAATGAAGAAAGACATTTCAATTTGAGAGTAAATCTATTTGTTATAATGTATTTCCCTCTAGTGGTAAAGTAAAACATGACACTGGAAAAAAGAAAGTTTACAGGTAGGATCTTAAAATTCTTTAGTATATTTATTAATTAATAGAGTTATTCACTAAAGTGAGAATTTAAGGTGAATTCAATTTGAAATTTAAGGTGAAAATAGCCAAACTGGAAATGTTTTGTAAGCCTGCTATGCTTTTAGTTCAGCTACTGTAGCCTTGAATCTGAAATTTGAAATGTGAATAACGTTGTTAGTTTTGTGTTTTTTAAATGATTTAAAAGTTAAATTATTTAGTTAATTAACCCCGTAAAGGACATAGCTTCCGTTTCCTAGCTTTGAACTTGAGGACACAATCAATTTTGACATTATTACAATTTCCAGCTTCTTGTTTCTTGCACCAATACATATCATTTACCATTTTAAAGCGCACAAGGGGCTTTAATTTGATGTGACATATACATATAAAAATTTATTTTTTTATTTTTTATTTAATAGGAATATAACATTTTTTAAAAAGCAATAATAATGTGCATATAAATTGTGCAATTTAGGAATAGTTATTTAAGATAAATAAAATTTGTGCTGATTTACAAAGTACATCACTTGTCTTAAATTTCAGTTTATTTTTGGCAGTTACAGGTCACACAATACAAGAGGTTGAATACAATTTAAATTTGGAACAATTTTAGAATTTGATATCTTTGTCTTCTAAGTTTAATAGCGTTATGGAAGACAAAATTGTGACATAAGATAATATATTTATATACAGTAGACATCACAGGAAATTTAAATAAAGGTATTTTAACTCCCTAAGGAGTCCAAAAAACTGTCCTTAAGTACCGGGAACGTACTTAGTACGTCCGTTGCAAATAGCGCTGGAAGCAATCGTGATCGCTTTCAGACGCTTTAAGGGTATTGCAGCGATGCCTTGATGTAGAGACATCCTGCAATACCTCTCCTGACAGTCCCCCCTCGGCAATTACACCACCGTTTTGAAAGAGCGATCACAATTAGGCCTCAGCTCTGAAAGAGCGTCCATAGTGCTGCCTGCAGGGGGACTGCGTAAACTGACAGGCAGTCTCCCTGCATCTGTAAAATAAAATACAATATATATATTTTTTTTATTAATTATCACATAAAAAAGCATAATATAGAACCCTGTACATGATCAGTGTGCCTAGCGAACATAATACATTTACACATAAACTTTACCATACTTTGAACAAACAAGACAAGACACAATGGCCAAAAACATATTAGCTTATATTCCTGTCACCAATAGGTATGTCCACACCAGGGGGTCCTTTAGAGAATACAAAATCCTGAGTACAGCCCCTTATTGTACTATTACAAATATAAAATTATAAAATAAGTAAAAATCTAAAATTACAATCCATCATTGGATATAATCACTGTTTAAAGGTTTTCTATTGAATTTAACCACCCAGTCAGCACATCTTGGGGGATCTTAAAGTACCACTATAGTGCCAGGAAAACATACTCGCCGGGCTCTGGGGGGAGGAAGGGGTTAAACTTACCTCTTTCTCCAGCGCCGGGCGGGGAGCTCTCCTCCTCTTCGGCTGAATGCGCATGCGTGGCAGGAGCCGCGCGCGCATTCAGCCAGTCCATAGGAAAGCATTCACAATGCTTTTCTATGGACGCTGGCGTCTTCTCACTGTGAAAATCACAGTGATAAGCGCGGAAGTCCTCTAGCGTCTGTCAATGAGACAGCCGCTAGAGGCTGGATTAACCCATTTATAAACATAGCAGTTTCTCTGAAACTGCTATGTTTATAGAAAAAAGGGTTAAACCTAGCTGGACCAGGCACCCAGATCACCTCATTAAGCTGAAGTGGTCTGGGTGCCTATAGTGGTCCTTTAATAATATCTCTTTCCATTTTTAGTTGAAATTTAAACTATTCCTTAACCCAATGCCAGGTTGGAGCAATATGTGACTTACAATGTCTAGCTATTGTGATTTTTGCAGCTAGCAGTATATGAGTAACCGGGGGGTATGATTTCCAAAAGCTAGTCTAGCGTTAAGCTGTAGTAAAAATAGATCGGGACCCAATTTGAAATACTTATTTATTAATGCCTGAATTTTGCTCTCGATCAAACTCCAAAACAGCTGGATAGGCGGACATTCCCACCATATTCTCCTTTACGGTCTCCACATCTGCAACAACTATGTACCTGATCTGGATAAATCTTAGACAATCTGCTTGAAACTAAATACCACCTACTTAAGAGCTTGTAGTGGCACTATACTAAGTTAAGGCAATGTACATTTCAGTAAACCTGGTTCCAGGAATTCCTCCAATCCTCGAATCCTATTTGAATCTTTGGGTCTGTAGCCCCTTTTTTATAACAGTTTCCATAGGTATTTCTGGATCCCTACTAACCAGTTCTAGACAGCCTGCTAGTATATTTTTTTTGGAGTTGTTTTTTTCAATAACTTTTCAAATCTATTCAATTTATTAGATTTTTTATTAAATAAGTAATTATGGAGAAACCCTTTGATTCATGGATAGTTAAATATTTCTTTAGATTATATTCAGTAATCATTGAATTGAAATCTTTTAGTTTTAAATTACTTATTTTTAAGAGTCCATTTTTAATCCATTTTTGTATGTTAAGATCAGCTATATTACTAGATAAATAGACTATAAGAAGACAGGTAATTATCTTATTCTTAATTGATAAATCTATTTTGCATTTCTCCCACTGTTTTAAAATTGTAGCAGGGAGGCTGCTTTGTTTATTATTTATAGACCATAATAAAGCACTCAGATTGAATTTGTGTTGTTCGTTGTGAACCAAAGATTGTTCGATTTTATACCATATTTGTTCTTTACAACTTTCAAGTTGAGTGATAAAAGCGTGTGATAAATTACAGGCTTTTTGATACTCTTTTAGGAGGGGTACCCCCAGACCACCAATTTTAACTTTTAGCGCTAAACGATTTACATTAAATTGTGGTAGCTTCCCCATCCAAATAAACTTATTTATAAGAGACTGTGCAAGAGTCATCCAGCTATCCGGACACGCCAAAGGTACCATGCAAAACATGTATCCATTTTGGTAGAATATAAGCTCTGTTGTTTATTCTACCCCACCATGAAATTTTGATATTCCTCCATTCTTTCAGTTTCCTACCGGCTTCTTTTAATAATGGTAAAAAAATGAAATTCCATATTTTTTATATGGGTCTCCCGCTATCTCAACCCTCAAACAGCTAAATGACTCCTTAAAACAGCAAAAACTATAACCCAGTGTCAAGTTTTCAACAACATCCCGCGGTAGGTTAAGCTGCAGTACAACCGATTTATTAAGATTTTATTTACATCCAGAAAGAAGAGAAAATTCTTCCATTAGAGGTTTCAATTCTCGCACTGAATTCACAGGATCGCTGAGAGTCAGTACCACATTGTCTGCATACATAGTTAGTTTGACACAATCGTCCAAAACATGCATGTAAAAAATCCCCCCTGACCCGGTCGAAAGCCTTTTTGGCATCTAACGACAAAGCCAGGATGGGCAGACATTTTTTATGGACCAATTCCATAATGTCCAGAAGTCTCCTAATATAGTACACCGGGGTTCTACTTGTTATGAACCCGACTTGATCTTGATGTATAATTGTGGGTATAATTTTACTTAATCTTGCTGCAAGTACTGCTGGATATAATTTGATATCTGTATTTAACAGTGTAGTGAGTCTGTAGTTTGCAAGCTGATCAGGACTTTTGTTTTGTTTAAGAATAGGTACGATATAGGCTTTTAAAATCTCGTGGGGTATATTACCATTTAACATAATGTGGTTAAACATATTTGTGAGAACTTCCATTATGTTTTCACTCATTTATCTATAAAAATAATTACTAAATCCATCTGGCCCCGGGGATTTATGTGCTTTGAGGTTTTTGATGGTGGCGTTAACTTCCATCGGAGAGACAGGTTCATTCATTTGAGTTAGTTGGTCTTGGGAGACCTTAGGTACCCTATACTTTGTAAAGAAATCAGACATACTAATAGGCGCACATCACGCTAGTAAATTATATAAATTGAATAGAACTCTTGAAAAGCCTGACCTATTTTTGTTGGAGCAAGAATAGTAATATTTCCTTGTGTGATTTTAGATATTACTTTTTTTAGCTTTTTTATTCTTTAATCTATTGGTAAGTAACTTGTCAGCCTTATTTCCTTTATAATACCATGTCCTCTTTAATCTTTCGAGGGCATAATTAGCTGTTTGGAACAATATGTCATTGATTTTCCCTTTAACCTTGCTCAATTTGTTAGAAAGTTCTAGTGACGGGTCAATTTTATTTATTTTCTCAATTTGATCGAATTCTATATATATTTCTGCTATGTTCCTTGAGTTTCTTTTTTTATCCTGATAACCTAGTTTGATTAAGTGCCCTCTTATGGTACATTTATATGCACACCAAGTTATAGGAAGTGAAATATCTTTGTTAACGTTCTCTTTAAAGAAATAATCAGTTGTTTCCTTAATTAGAGCTAGATTTTGCAGAATTTGTAAAAGTCTCTTATTTAACTGCTAATTTGATCTATCTTTAATAAAATTATCATTAATTACCATTATGAGTGCATTATGATCCGACCACGGAATGTTGAGTATAAAAAATGTTTTAATTCTTTTTGTTTTGTCCGCTTCGGCTAAAAAAATAATCTATTCTTGAATACACCTGATGTGCGTGGGAAAAACACGTGTAGTCCCTATCCTGTGGATGCCAAATACACCACAAATCATACATTCCGTTCCTCCTCAGGATTTCACCAAAAACCTTGGATGAGTTATTAATGTATCTGTTATACTCTTTTTTTCTTTATGCTGTTCCTATCTAGAATTGGGTCCAAGATACAATTAAAATCTCATATATATATATATATATATATATATATATATATATAATCCTCTCTTGTCTGATTCTCTCTATTTTGCTAAATAAATTCCAAATAAATCTAGTGGGGGTATGACTAGGAGCATAGATATTAGCAATTGTGTAGATTTGGTTATTAATTTCACAAATAAGTATATGATATCTGCCCTCTATGTCTGTTTCCTGATGAATCAATTTAAAAGCTAATCTAGCTGAAATCAAGGTAACTACCCCTCTTTTTTTTATTAGGCATAGATGAAACAAAAATATGAGGAAAATCCTTCGATTTGATCAATTTTTTTGTCATTTGAACACCAGTGAGTCTTTTGCATCCCACAGATATGTATAGACTATTTTTTCAAAAAGATTAATCTCTTTTGAGGAGAGTTTAATCCCCTAGCATTTACCGAGATGAGTTTTATCATAACATTTCTTCAAATGCATTACCCCAAATTCTAAACATGTTCCCGTTTTGTCGTAACATTTCGCAAATTGCATGACACCAGTCTCCAATGTCTCCCCTGTGAGGACCACCCAATGAACAGGCCATAACGAAAAACAATAACACAATACATTAAGCACGTATACAAATAACATATAAAATCCCCATCTCCCTATCGCATAGAAGGACAAAGCCTCCCATGTTATATAAATATATATATATATATATGATGTCATACTAAGTGTATTTTTATATTAATATATACATAATATAACAATACACTTATAATTAAATTACACACACATATATATAATAAATATATATATTGTATTTATTATAAAATATAAATAAGTAAATAAAAATAAAAGTAAAAAGTAAAAATTATTTTAAAAAGTATATACATATAAGTAATTTGATTCTAACTGTATTTTGATAATATATATATATATTTTTATCAAAATACACTTAGAATGAAATTATATATATATATATCTATGAATATATAAATAAAAATAATACGAAATATATATCCATATACATAAATAATTTCATAAATATACATAGACTTCAAATATATAAATATGTATATATATTTGAATTCTACGTGCATATATATGTAATATTTTTACATAATTAAGTAATTTTACTGATTGCAATTTGAGGGACCTGCCTGACAACCCAGGCCGAAAGTCTAGAGAATTTCATTTGCTAGCACTGTAACTTTCCATGACACCATAAAACCTGTACATGGGGTGTACTGTTTTACTCTGGAGACTTTGCTGAACACAAATATTAATGTTTCAAAACAGTAAAACATATCACAGCGATGATATTGTCAGTGAAAGTGAAGTTTTTTCACAAACTGCACTTTCACTGATATAATTTTTGTGGTACGTTTTACTGGTTTAAAAACAATAATATTTGTGTTCAGCGAAGTCTCCCGAGTATAACAGTACCCCGTGTGTACAGGTTTTATAGTGTTTTTGAAAGTTACAGGGTCAAATATAAGGTTGGATTTTCTGTTTTTTTCACATTAAAATTTGCCAGATTGGTTATGTTGCCTTTGAGAGCGTATGGTAGTCCAGGAATGAGAATCACCCCCATGATGGCATACCATTTGCAAAAGAACACAACCCAAGGTATTGCAAATTGGGTATGTCCAGTCTTTTTTAGTAGCCACTTAGTCAAACATTGGCCAAAGTTAGCGTTCATAATAGTTTTTTGCATTTTTAACACACAAACAAATATAAATGCTAACTTTAGCCAGTGTTTGTGACTAAGTGCCTACTAAAAAAAGACTGGACATACCCCATATTGAATACCCTGGGTTGCCTGCTTTATAAAAATATGTAAATGTGAGGTGTGATTCAGAGATTTATGACAGATAACAGTGTTACAATGTCACTATTGATACATTTTAAAAATATAGCCCCATAACTTGAAAAAAAAAAGCTAAGAACATGTTAACATTGGGTATTTCTAAACTCAGGACAAAATTTAGAAACAAATTAGCACGTGTGTTTTTTTTGGCGGCCATAGATACGTAACAGATTTTGGGGGGCAAAGTTAGAAAAAGTGTGTTTAAAAAAAAAAAAAAAAAAATTCACCATGTTTTAGAATTTTTTTATAGTCAATTATATGATATGATGAAAATAATGGTATCTTTAGAAAGACCATTTAATAGCGAGAAAAACGGTATATAATATGTGTGGGTACAGTAAATAAGTAAGAGGAAAATTACAGCTAAACACAAACACCGCAGGAACGTAAAAACAGACCTGGTCCTTAACGGTAAGAAAATTGAAAAACGGTCTGGTCACTAAGGGGTTCACACTTTTTATGTTGCAATTTAACTTCCAATCTCTGTTAAAAATTGTAGGGTTTTGGGGGCGGGGCCTGACACTCATGGAGACCAGACATGCCTTGCTTGAGCTCCTCGTCTGGCCCCAACATTAGCCTGGGTTTTAGCCAAATTTCACTTTTGATCTGCACCCGGTTAACACAAACCGGAGCTCTGGCATGGCGGGCTCATGTGGCAGCGGTTGGAAGCCGAGATCGAAGCAGAAAGAACCGGAGGGGACGGTGCGGCCTAGTCGACCTGTGGAGCAGGAGGGACGGCCGCTCCCCCAATCTAGAGGGTCCTGGACACGTGCTGAAACCTCCTAGAGCCCCGTTACCCCCCCCCCCTTGGGACCGGTGGGGGTTATCCCGGTCCCCACCAGGCAAGCTCGCACCTTCACATCTCTCCTGTGCAGCTACACGTCGAAGGCAGACGGCTCCCACGCGGCCACACTAAAATGGCCGACGGCGGCGCAGCAGTTCCAAAGACAGAGAGGGTAAATTCTTTGAGGTACGCTGAAATGGCGCTCGAGACTCACCCAGCCAGAGCCGACACTGTGGGGGATCCCTTGATGGCTCTCGACCTCCTCCGTAATCACCCTAAGAAAAGACTGCAAGACACGCAAGCACCACAGCAGCATGCAGATCTAGGCATACCCACACTGCAGCGGCACTCCCAGGAAACGAGCACATCATCCCTGCGCCCCAACTCCACCACGCGGCAGTCTGCACCATGGTACTAAGGCATGACAGGTACCGTACCGTGCCCATACTCACCCAACAACCAGGAGACACGATGAGGGCGGACTTCAATTACTGCATCCAGTAGAAGACAGTGGGACTCTGTAGCCCTCTTGGGCATTGTACAGGGACTCTCCCCACACGAGGGAAAGGGCTAACTTTTTATTTTCCTTTTTATGGTCAGCCTGTCAGGTTATACCACAATTAAGGCACACACCGTTGAAATTTACCTTAGCTAACTCCACCTGATGTCGCGAGGGTTGCATGCACCCTCTTTGTTACAGCTAATGTTGATGCTACTTTAATGTTATTTTCCTGCCTTATGACGCTGATAGCACACTACGCGGTATTCTGCCTGGTGGAAACCTACTCTAATAACAATATTAGCCCAGCTTGTAACCTTAAAACCTTACGACATAGTCAGTCTGGAAATCACAATCTGTAACTCATAAACACTCGTAAACGTACAAGTTGAGCTAAACCTCGAGGAAACTACATTACATAAAACTATATGTTTAGACTTGCCATGTAATTGTTCTTAAATGTTGACAAATAAGTTGGCAATCGCTATTGGGGCATTGCCTGCCTCATTGTATTTTTGTCATGCACAATAAAATAAAGAATTTAAAAAATAAAATAAAGTGTTTTTTTTTACATACACACATATCAAGGTTTTGTTAATATTTGCCATTCTTCTTGGCGAGTACGATTCATAAATCCTATTCAACTACAAATTGCCTTGAATGAAGATATGTGTCATGAATGGAAGTCTCCAGGAATGGGGGTTGTGACATTTTTGGGAAAGGACACCAGTTAATAAATAATAATAATAATTTCTTCAAAATGCCACTCATACTGCCAGTTAATGCTCTAGTTCCCTCTATTATTATATAAAATGTCCACCATGTTAACCATGTTATCTGTGACCCTATCTCTGCATACTGTGCCTACAGAGAACCCATTTATTCCTGTCAGGAAGCTCAGCCCGCTGCTCCTGTCACTCAAACCCTGTCCTGAGGAAGGAAGCTTCCAGAATGCCACAACAGCTGCGCCCCTCCGCCCCGCCCTCTTATAGCTGTTAACGGCAGCGGAGCAAACCGATTGGCTAATGCGGCACGCCCACTCTTTCCGGATTGGCTGCCTTGTCTGTCAGTCTTGTGACATCGGAGCACCTCCCTATAATAGCGCTTTAGCCTTCGCTGAAAGTTCACTTTCTGCTACCGAGCGACTCTGTCTTCTCCGCTGGGTGACGTATTGCGGGCGCGTGCAGGATGCCGGATTTTAATTGGTCGGTGAGTGTGAACGTTTAGGCGTCTATTGGTATCACGTGACAAGCTGTCATGTCCTTCATTTGGCCGCCATGTTACTGGTCCTCTTGTTGCTGGGCTCTCACAGTCTTGCCTGAGAATGGTGGGAGTTGCTCCAAGAATGGGCTTAGTGAAGGACAGGAAATCAGGAATCCAAATCCATAGTAAAAGAGGCTTAGAATCAAATCTTATCCAGACTGGGAGAGAGAATCAATAAACACAATATATAATCAATAACCAGAACATATAATCAATAACCACATTATATACTCACTAACCACATTATATACTCAATAAACACAATATATAATCAATAACCACATTATATACTCAATAAACACAATATATAATCAATAACCACATTATACAATCAATAAACACATATAATCAATAAACACATTATATACTCAGTAACCACAATATATAATCAATAAACACAATATATAATCAATAAGCAGAACATATAATCAATAAACAATATATAATCAATAACCACATTATATAATCAATAAACACAATATATAATCAATAAAAAGTGTTATTCAGTGAAGCAGGGATGTCAGACTGCAGCACAAGTTTTTGAACTACACTACCCATGAATCTCTGTGGCTCACAGGCTTAAAATGGGTTGTGGGAGTTGCAGTCCAGAAGCATTTTGGGGAGGCCCATTCAGAAGATGCTGCACTAGTTTGGGAATTTAAACTGAATTTCAAAGTTTAGGCAAAAACAGGCAACCTGGAAAAACACTTTGACCCCCTAAGGACCAAACTAATGAAATAAAAGGGAATCATGAGATGTCACACATGTCATGTGTTCTTAAGGGGTTAAATCAATGTGTGGTTTTGGTTTGGCTGGTTTACGTTCACCAGGCCCGGACTGGCCATCGGGCATACCGGGCAAATGCCCGGTGGGCCGCGATGCCCGTGGGGCCGAGGCTGGCAGGGAGATCACAGGATCTCCCCTGCCAGCGCTACCCGAGCGCCAGCCCTGCTGTGTGCCTCCATGGGCCGGTGGAGAGATCAAAGATCTCCCTCACCGGCCCAGAGGCAGTGTCACAGGCGGCCGCAGGCTGGGCAGGGAGGGAGGCAGGAGAGAGGACCGGCGGAGCTCTAACCAGCAGCGCTCAGATCTCGCGATAGTGAACTCTAGCCTGCAGGCTGGAGTTCACTCTCAACACTGGACCACCAGGGAAGCATGACAGCATGCCCCCCCCCTCATGGCACCACGGCTCCCCCCCCTCCCAGGCTAAAGGTAAGAAGAGGGGGGGCATAACTTTTTTTTTTTTTTATTATTAATTATTATTAATTATTAATAAAATAAAAAATATATATATTTAAAATAATTTCCCTAAAAGCCCCCCCAGACACACACAGCACCCCCCCAGACACACACAGCACCCCAGACGCACACAACATCCTCAGACAGACAGCACCCTCACTCCCACAGATATACAGCACATATATATATTATATAAAATAACCCTCAGTGAGTTAACAAACAAATAAAATTAAAAACCCAGAATGTGACGGCAGATAAAAACACCCTCACACACAGCACTCCTCTTACACAAACACGCTGCGCACCTCACACATACAATACGTCCAAATATATTATATATTTATATATATATATATATATATATATATATATATATATATATACACACTACAGCACCCCTCACACTGCACCACTACAATAATTACGCTCCAGATACACGCTAGATCCCTTACCCTATATGCACTCTTAATCCTCTACACACACACACACAATCTTCTATACACACTCTGGGTCCTTTACACACTAGATCTCTTACACACACACTGCACCACCTTCACACACACTACATTCCTTGTAAGCAAACACATACAACATTCTCTAAACACACCCTCTCTACACACAGTAGTGTGTGTGTGTGTGTATAAGTGACACACACTACGTCACCTATACACACACACTACTGCCCGTATGCACACACTCGCTACATCCCCTATAACACTATGCCCCTATACACACACTCTCTACAGCCCCTAGCCACACACATTACACCACAAAATTGACCTATTTACACAATACCACACCACACTCTACACACAGGCAATCCCACAAGCATGCGCCAAACACATGCACCATACACTTTTCTGGCCTTTTTGTCCTCTGGTATCCCACTTGTGGAGACACCAGAGACAATTTAAAAGCAAACACAGCACAAGCATGTTATTACATTTGCTTGCGCTGCGCAGAACAAATACAGGGCCTTTTTCTAATGCTAATGCTCTTCAGCGGGGCTCTGCGCATTGAACCAACATGCTCACTTTGAGAGGGGGCGTGCTTGTCATTAGTGATGACAAAACACACCCTCTCTGGCCCCGCCCCCTTCTTGGGGGGCCGCTCTAATTGAAAAATGCCCTGGCCTCATTTTTTTCCCAGTCCAGCCCTGACGTTCACTGTGAATTCTCCGCAGCTCATACATGAGTGAATAATCCTGAACGGGTTATTTGCCAAGATCTGAATTGTTGCCTATTGAAATATTAATGGCAAATATTAGCCATAGTTGGGTAAGTTCTCCAAATCGGCTATATTCAAAAATCGGCTATATATTTTAGACATAAAATTGCTCCGTCACCTCTCCCAAAAAATTGGGAATTTTATAAAGATAATTTTTTTTTAAATGAAATGCTCATGAAGACTGTTTGAATTCCCTCTCAGTCAAATGAGACACTGTAACGACTTGCATGGCGCACCGCTCCCCCGCTGCTATCTCATTAAAGAGGTGGGTGTTAGACTCCCATAACATCCCTCACCGGTTTGCCTGCGCTCTTTGTTGATTTGCTGTGATTGCTATCTTTGCAGAGCAGGTCTCTTTTTTACTTTGTCTCTAAATTCCTCGGACTCTGGCATTTGCCGAGGTATTGAGAGTGAGTTGGGAGAAAAACATATTTTTAAATAGGGTTTTTCTCTAAAGCTATACATTTGTTAGCGGAACTGCTATTAAAATTTTAGACATGCTACTTCAAACTCTTTTGAAATAGCTAAAGATGTTTTTAGCCTTGGTAGGTTCCTGTTAAAGCGGCACTGTCACCATTTGGGGACTTTGCAGAATACCCAAGGACCCCTAACTGTGACATTGCATGCTCGAGAGTACAGCATTGGGGCATATGGAAGACCCCCGACAGAGCCAGTTCCCTGCAGCCATTACCGGTGACAGCTGTCTGGATTGACACTGTAGCAATGCATAAGACAAAGTAGTCCCTGGTTTGTTTGTTTATTGTTTTTTGAGAAATAGATGGGAGAAAAAAAAGAGAGTAGGAAAGAGGAAGCGATTAAGGAAAAGGTAAGTACCGCCTGACAGTGTCGCTTTAAGAGAAAGTTGGGAAGTTTTTCCCTTCGCTTGATTAAAAGGCGGAGTTACCGCTTTCAAGTCCTTAACAGTGACAGCTGGGTGGGGGGGGGGGTAAAAAGCTTTGTCTACGAAGGCTTTCAATGTATCCTCCATAAATATAAGTGTTGTACTCTCGCATGTGTGAGTTTAAAAACTGATGTCTGCTCCTGTCAGATGAAGTGGCAGGAGCTAAGAGTGCGTCAGATCCATATGGCGGCAGCCTTGAAGGGCAGAATCAGGCAAGTAAAACCTTTGTTCTCCTGCATCCCTAGGGCCACTGCAGAGCAAGCGGCAAAGTCACCATTGGAGGTGTCTGCAAAAGGTGACAGAGCTACTTTACTTTAGTATTTTGGATTTCAGTTCACTTCAATCAGGAGTTTAGTTAAAAAAAAAAAAAACCCTGTAGTTCAGGAAACACGCTGTAGTGCTTATGGTACTAAGAGTGCGCCGACTCACACCCAACCAGTACTATTCCTTGTAAGGAGTCAAACGGTTTTAGAACAATTTGACTTCTTCCTTGGTGTTTGCCGGCTGCTGCTTCCTGCCTACTCTACAGATCTGTGAGAGCAGGAATCTCCCGCTCGGGGTCTTATGTTTGTTCTCCTGAGCCAAGCGTGCAGGGTAAGCACATTGGTTCTTAGCCAATGAGCTAAGCCAGCACTGCAAACGTTTAAGAATGGTTTGACTGCTTACCTGGGTTCTGCTGGGCGCCCATCACGGCATTCCCTACTGACCGTGGTTCCTGTAAGGAGACTCCGTTAGCTCCACATAGCTAAGCTCTGCCGTGTCAACTAACAGATAATTTAACCATGCCCAAAATTGTTAGCATAGAAAAATCGGCACTTGAAATTTCAAGTCCTATGCTGCAAGCTAGGTCTTAAAATTTACTTGCCAATGCATGCCGCCAAGGGTGACTTTCTACTTGCCGGAGTGTATTTTTTTTACTTGCTAGTGGCAAATGGAAAGTTTGAGCCCTGGTGAAATAATGGTGATAATCATATTAAACATAGTATAATTCAACACACACACACACACCGCTTATAAACCGATTTCTGCTTTCAAATAAAGGGTCTCGTGCTTGTCTGGGTTTGATTTTTGTCTACTATGTATATGGTGTTATCAAGTGATCACATCCGCCAGTGCTTGTACCCGTCATTTGAAAGAGGGGGCTCACTTCTTTCAAAACAGGGACCCTCTGCTAATGTAATGCTGTGGGATTTATTAAAAAAAATTTTTTTTTTTTTCTTTTCAGGATACACTAGAACTTGTGTGATAATTTTTTTTGTTTTGTTTTTTTTTTTTTCTTGAGTACAGGTTTTGGAAAATTTTCCATTGCTCCTTTATATTCTGGCTGCCAAGTCTGTGCTACTGTGCTTGCTATTTGCCGGTGTCAAAATATACCAGAGTAACAAAATTGAAGCACAACTAAAACTTGAGCGTGAAGCAAGACGCAAAAAAGAAGCAGAGAAAGAAGAAACCGAGAAAAAAGAAGACTAAGGTATGATAATGATATGTGTGTGTATGTAAATATAAAATATGTTTATTGTTTGGGTGCATTAAAGAAATTACTAATGAAGAAAGGCTGACATTTTTAACCCCTTAAGGACCAAACTTCTGGAATAAAAGGGAATCATGACATGTCACACATGTCATGTGTCCTTAAGGGGTTAAAATGACTGTAGTCTCGACACTTGTGTCACATGTTGGGAACCCGAGTGGTAGACGGGGGGTCCCACTACTGTACATATTCCACTAGACAAGTTAATGCCCACGGTTACCACAATGAGCGCCCACCAGAGTAACACATATGCACTGGTCATGCGCTAGAAGAGACACCCTGTGCGTCACACCAGGCCCATTACACTAGCGATCACATTGGGAGGGGCTAAGAGTGCACATAAGTGAACCAGAGAGATGTACGGGCGTCTAGGGCATGGCAAAGGCACAATACTCGGGATTCGCAGGGGACGAACTAACAGATAAGGAGGGGGGGGATGATGGACGCACCACGCGGACACAGCAGGCAGACTGGGGGGATCAGGGACTGCACGGCCTATAACGTAGCAAAACATTGACAGTAACCCAGCTGCAGGCACGAACCCCCCCCCACACACAATCCACCCCTGACGCGCATGTGCACTCACTCCTGCTCCGCCACGTGTCACGCACGTGGCGCTTACCAGAACGTAACGAGGCAGACACACTATCACGACGCCGCACACCCCCGATATGCCCCATGCATGAGAAGGCCCCCCAAGACAGGCGGCAACGGGGCCCCTAGATGACAAGACTTGGGACCCGAACAGCGGTCCTTGGGCCCGTGTAGCGGGATCCAAGCCACTGGCAGACATCAAGGGCACCACTCCGGGACGAACAGACCCGAACACAGCCCGTCAGATACCACGCCGACAGGAGGTGACGCCCCACGGCCCGGTGCCACTGACTGTTACGGACCCGCTGCGCACACATACACCAATTCTTCCCAAGAACACCGTGGAACCCCGACCCAAATACGGCCATGAGCGAGACAGGGAGTCGAACAGACAGCCACAAACACACACAACGAAGGGGGAGACTGGGAGGGACACACCCTTTAAAAAGCACACAACAAGATACACAAATGGCCCCACAGCGACATGTGAGAGCAGAGACTTGCTACCATGCACCCCATCTTCAACACTACACCGAGAGACATAGCTACTACGAAAGCCCAAATCAGGTTGGGAGCTGAAGGAGACAGTTGATGACGACCGACCACTAGACCGAGCCACTCCATTGGTCAAGACGACACCGATCCTCACTGAGACAGACCCTCCTGTAAATTATACCGGAACCTCAGGGAAGGTCAGGTAACCAACTCCCGAGAACCCCCAAAATCCGGTACAGGGTCGACATCACACCCAAACTAACCCCGTTCGCGGGTCCTCCTGACCCCAGATAACCCCATCCTCCTAGAACCCTCATTCTAGACGACATCCTTCCCCTCACCCCTCCAGTGCCGCTGCGAGTGGGGCCCCCTCCCTCCTCCCAAAATGGCTGCCACCCGGGCGTTTGCCCCGGCCCAGCTGACGTATTGGTCTAACAACGTCCAGGGACTCAACTCCCCGGAAAAACGGGCCCACTTGCACCGTCGACTGTGGAGCGCTAAAGCCTCCGTAGTTTTCCTGCAAGAAACCCATCTCAAAGGTGGAGACGCACCTAAACTAGAAAACCGGCGCTTTCCTCTGGGATTCTACGCTAACCACCCCGACACCAAAAAAGCCGGAGTCGCGATTCTGTTCGCTCACTCGGTACCATTCCAGAATACACAAACTCTAGCAGACCCGAACGGGAGGTACCTCTTCCTGAGAGGCACCATCGCAGACCATGAATACACCTTTGCGTGCTTATACGGTCCAAACAGAAAGCAACATAAGTTTCTACGCCAGGTGCTAGCCAAACTGGAAAAGTTCAGAGGGGCCCTGCTAATCGTAGCAGGAGATCTAAACATGCCGCTGGACCCCATACGAGACACCTCGAGGGGCCAAAGTGCGATCCCCACACACTGCCTGAAAGCCGCACAACGATTCTTACACAAGATGGGGCTAGTGGACTGCTGGAGGACATACCACCCAGACGACCGAGACTATACCCACTACTCCGCGGTACACGCACACTATAGTCGAATCGACTACATTTTCATGGCCCAGGAGTATCTTAACCTATTACGTAGCGCAGACCTAGGCATCATGGACCACTCTGACCACGCACCGGTACTGATCGATACACAATCCCCGCTCTTTAAACCCAGAGAAAGACAGTGGAAGCTTAATGAATCCATGCTAGACGACCTGGAATTTACCACCGCTATGAACCAGGCCCTAACTGACTACTTCACGACAAACGAAAGTCCGGACATACAGCCGCTGACTCTCTGGGAAGCGCACAAATGTGTCATCCAAGGACACCTTATCACAAGCTGCACCCGCTGCAAAAAACAAAGGACGACGCAAATTGCTAACCTGACAAGCCGCATAGCTGAGCTTGAACAAACCCATAAATCCACTTTGGATGACAACACATACCTCCGACTCACGGAAACTCGCAGAGAGCTTCGAGATATATTGACCCAAGGACTACTCCACACTGCCAGGAAAACATCTCGATACTTCTACGAACATTCGAATAAAAGTGGACGACTGCTGGCGAAGATGCTCCAAGAAAAACGGAGAACACGACACGTCCACAAGATACACACGAAAGAAGGTGCCATCACCCGGCTCCCGGAGGGCATCCTAACAGCTTTCAAAGAGTATTACAAGACGCTATACGACCAAGCACAGCATAAATCGGGACGTACGGTGACACACCATCAGGAACGGATAGCTGCATACTTAGAAGAACATACCACCCGCAAACTGACGCCTGAACAAAAGGCCGACCTGGAACAACCCATGACAATTGAGGCATTAGCGGGAGCCTTGAAAACATCCAAACCCCACAGGGCTCCGGGACCTGACTGCCTCCCTATCGCATATATACGTACCTTTAAGGACGTTCTCCTTCCTAGACTCCTCACCGGGATCAATTCCATCCAAGAAGGAGGACGATTCCCTAAGCCATGGCCACCAGAGTAGCGCAAACGCTCCCCAACCTGATACACCCGGACCAGGTTGGGTTCATACCCGGGAGGGAGGCCAGGGACACCACCATCCGAGCCCTTAACATCATACACACAGCAGTGGCCGGCAAACGAGACATGGTGCTTCTATCCACCGACGCCGAAAAGGCGTTTGACCGGGTAGACTGGGATTACATGGCAGCAACCCTGAGTCACATGGGGTTTGGCCCACGATTGCGAACCTGGGTAGCCGCACTATACACCACGCCGTCAGCACGCATACGTGTCAATGGAGCCCTGACCGACTCATTTGACATAAGTAACGGCACAAGGCAAGGATGCCCCCTATCCCCCCTTCTATTCGCCCTCACTCTCGAACCCTTCCTTGAAGCGGTCAGACAGCATGGGGGGATCACAGGATTTAGCATAGGCGGAAAGAAACACCGAGTAGCGGCTTATGCCGACGACATGCTATTTTTCCTGGAGCAACCTAGGGTATCGACACCGAACCTCCTGGACGCATTTCGAACTTACAGTGAGGTATCCAACCTAAAGCTAAATCTGGATAAATCCGAAGCAATGCTGCTCACGAGGGACGCGACTCTCCAGCAACACATCCAAACGCAATTCCCCTTCAGAATATGCACCTCCAAATTGCGATATCTTGGCGTCTGGCTACCCGAGGACACGACGCGCATATACCAACTGAACTTCGCACCCCTTCTAGCTACCCTACAACTAGATATAAAACGGTGGACGGCCCAGTACATCTCATGGTTTGGCCGCATAAATGCAATAAAAATGAATGTCATGCCTCGCATTCTATACCTATTCCAGACACTACCAACAACCATCCCAAGAGGGTTCTTTCAAGCGATAACGACTACCATCCGACAGTTCGTCTGGAACCACAAACCATCACGCGTGAAACGGTCCACCTTAGAACAACCAAAAAGCCAGGGCGGAACGGGACTCCCGTCGATCATCACATACTACCAGGCAACCCACATACATCGACTGGTCGATGGCACGCTAATCCGACCACTAAACAATGGGTCCACATAGAAATACAACAAGCCCTAGGCAAAATCCCCGCCCAACTGTGGCTGGGCGAAACATCTCTTGGGAACTTACGCACGGACAACCCAATGATAAACGCCACGCTGCAGGTCTGGTGCAAGGTTCGCTACACCAGGAACCTCACGACATCCCCCAACCCGCTTACACCTATTACTAACAATCCGAAGCTGGCGGGAGGGCTTAGCCCAGCCGACCTAAGGAACTTGGGAGCTACAGACTGGGTATACATAAGCCAATGGTGTGATGGGCCGAACCTAAAGACAATGGGGGAACTTCTACAAGACCGCCGACCAACTAGAATGGACTAATTCCGATACCACCAAATAAAAACGTACGCTGCCGCTTTAAAAGGCAGGGGTCATCTGCACCGTCCACTGCTCTACCTGGAACAACTATGTACAGACAGACACCACCTCACACACGGAGTCTCGATCCTATATACCATGCTTCAAAACAGCGGAGACAAACCACCGCTGGGGTTCACTGAACGATGGGAAAGAGACGCGGATGTAATACTCACGGATAACGAATGGGAAAAAATATTCCAACTCACACACAAGGGATCCATAAGCACTAAATTCCAAGAATGTAATTACAAAATTTTGACACACTGGTACCGGACCCCGGATGTTCTACGGCACATCCATGACTCGGTCCCAGGCGAATGCTGGCGGTGCGGCACAGAAATAGGCACAGGAATACACATTTGGTGGAAGTGCACGCACATCATACCCTACTGGCGAATGGTCCATCGATTGATAAAAGAAATTACGGGAACAGAGATACCTTTCCAGCCACTGCCAATGTTGCTAAATCACACCCACACACCCCTGAAAGCATACAAGAGAGGCCTCGTCATACATCTGCTGACGGCTGCGAAAACTCTCATTCCGACGATGTGGAAAAGCCCAACAGTTCCCACATATCAACAATGGATAGACAGGGTGGAAGAGATTTACAATATGGAAAGGATGACGGCCTCCCTACAGGGACGCGCAGAAAAATGTACCCTGACCTGGTTCCCGTGGATGGACTACATATCCAAGACAGCAGCAAGAACAGACGCGGGGGGGGATGGGGGCGCCGCTGCAGCGGCACATACACCCCCGGTTGGGGAACTCGCTCCCTCCGGAGCCAATATGCCCGATTAAACCCCACAAGACAGGTCATAACTCACAACCCATCCCGACCCTATCCCAACCCCAGACCCTCCACCCCCGACAGAGACTAGGCATGGACAAATAAACTAAGGACAGGAGTTATCCCGAAACACAAAAGGCGATACATACAATAGGATGGACAGGAAGAGACTCACGATGCGCACAGACAACACCAACGCAATCTGGGCCCGCCGAGATTCCCAAGGTTTGGGAAGCAACTGGCACCAACAACGGTAAACTAACCCCCGAAACTGAAGGGAACGGAGAAAGATAGATGGGGAAGATGACGGAGGGGGGAGAGAGACACCCCAACACATGAAGGCAGAGGACGTACACAGTACATCAAGACAGGTAATGCCACCAGGAATGCTCATACACAGGCACCGCAGACACAATAGCAGACCAACACAACCGGCACCCCTCACTACAAATCGGTAAGCCACCAACGCCCACAAGTAGACGCATAACGCTCACGCCAAAACCTACCTAACCACGGCCCCGTAACTGACAAATGATTTCGCCCGATCTCCCCTAGTGCCACCCCAGCTATAGCTTGGCACTTGGGCCCCTAAGCCCAAGGCTCCCGGGAAGAGACCTATGACACGATGTCGGGCCTCGAGCAATTTGGAAACATGATACAAACACATTGAACACTGCCCTGAACTAGATTGAACGCAGAAAGCAAAACATACTTATAACAAGTGTCAACATCGCCACTGTGACTCCAAATTAGCTATTCCTAAAATCAATAGCTACCTGCCCCCTACGTCCCTTGCGCATCCTCCACGCTCCCTACCACTGGCCAATGCACGCATACTTATACACCCGATTAGCGGGGACTAGCCGGACAGAAAGACTGAGGGGGAGGCAGGGATACGACTCTTAGGCTTCCCACCACCTTACCATGAGAACACCATATGAAGGACACTCCGCAAGACCCTACTAGGGACGGAGGCAGCAATCTACAGTTATGCATAAATTAACGACCCATAAATCACAGCCCCAAGCCGACAGGTCACAATATACACGTATCAACCCGAACCCAACACGTGGGTGGCACGTATACACGATACCAGCACTAGTACCACAAGACATATGACAGCGAACCCGACAAGTGCACTACATGCGACACAAAGAAGGAAACATAACTACACAAGTTGAACAGGAGTGGAGATAGTCAGGGGAGGGTGACACGGGGGAGAGAGAGAAGGAAAACTGGACAAAAGGCCACAGCGAGAAGTGGTAACATGTTGCAATGTAGGCTGACAATAGGTACACCTGCTGTTTATAGATATGCCTGCCATGCACTAGTCAGCAACTCACGTCCTGAACATACGCCCATTTACCAGGACTACGGATTGAGATATACACCTGGTCACAGCCCCAGCTAGTTTAACCTATGTTCCCAGAAAGCTCACAATGTGACCTGGTTTGACGCACAGTTTTACACACAATGACTTCCCGATGCAAGTTATGCCACATAAAGTTTACTAATTGCACATTTTCGATGCGATCTATATCCTGTTGTGTTCATGTATACTGTTTACCTTGATGCAAGCTGACCCATATTGTCTATTTTTGTTTAAACACATTAATGCACAATTGAAACTTGGAAAAATGAAACAAAACTGAAATAAAGAATGTAAATAAAAAATGACTGTAGTCTCAGTATTAGAATAGCTCTGGCAAGGTCACCATTTGTGGAAAGGGTGGCTTAGCCAAGCATTGGACCCTCATGGGACACTAATGTGATGTGGTCCAGTTTGGATGGTAAACATACCACCCCTTACTGGACTACAGTGCATAGCTGTAGCAGACTAGGCCCCTGACTCTTCTGCATAGAAAAGCTTGGTGGTTTCCTTGTGAACAGCACTTGGAGAATTTGATGTCCTATCACTTCATCCTGGTACGCTTAGGGTGCCATGCTGGAGAAATGAGTGGTCAAGCTGTTCCAGCCTGCTAGACACTAGAGAAACCACCCTCCTGCACTCAAAAGGTATGCAAAGAGGAGGTTAGCATCCAATGCTGCCCATTTGGAAGCATTTAATTGGGTGAACGCTGTGCATGCGCTTCTTGTCTCCAATGCTTCTGTATGAGGAGCATTGCATTGGACGAGTAGGCAATGAAGTGACAAAGCAATGTCGCGTGTGGCATCACCGAGTTTCCCACGGGGCTTGAAAAAAGTGAAGTAAAATGCTTATTTTCTTTATTAAATTTGAAGGGGCCTTAAATCTAAATAGGAACTAGAAACCTATAGCGTTAGGAATACAATCAAAGGTTCTATGTTTCTGTTGTGTATTTTATTCCCCCTCCCCGAACTAACTGCCTGTTGGCTCACACACACATTTCTTAGATGAATAAATTCCAAGTAATGTACATCCAATTTAGCATGTCATGGAAATACAGTTGATCGTTTATTTAAGTTTTTTGAATACCTTTATATATTAATTTATTTTTTTCCTCCTAGGGGATTTCATCTCGCCTGCTTTATGAATACATTCACTGGAGATTTGCTGTGTCTGTGGAAATGCTGTACTGTTTCAGAGAATGTGAACTGTTAATTTATCACTTTATACATTTTTAATATTTTTTCTTTTTTTTTTTTTCTTTCTTTTTCTAGAATATTAAATTGTATTTTCTAAAAATGTGTTCTGACTTTTTTTTTTTTTTATATTATTCTTTGTGATTTAGTTACCCAAAGGGTTCTAAACCCCTGGTTGCCCCAGATGTATCCAGGCAGACTCTAATGGAGGGCCAATTTGTCCACCTTATACCAACTTCCATCCCTACCTGCACTTTTTTAAAACTTTTCAAAGAAAATAAATAATTTACATACAAGCTTAAGATTAATACTAAATATTTTTTGAGTTATATTCAATAATTGTCCTCTTTAAAAAATATTTTTTTTTTAAAAAGCAAACAAAGCATCACTGTGTGCAAACCCTAATGAAATGTACTGTGAACAGCTATGCAGACATCCCAACTTGCAAAAATGGAGGTGGCTTCAAGGAGGTGGCTTCACCAGCTACGGTGCCGCACCCTCCGTCTCCCGCGCGCGCACCCTCCCCACACACAGACACACACAACCCGCCAACATGTTTGAACACCTGGATTTACACATACACACTCAGATATGCACAATGATATATACACTCAGATACGCACACTGACACATATACTCTGACACACACAAACCCTCAGATACACTCTTGGAGGGTGGCTTGCTTGATGCTCTGGTCCTGTCTGAGGCTGATGGGAGTGAGCATACAGTGGCAGCTCACTCCATCCTCTATGCTGCCTCCTCCCTCCAGTCCTCCTGTGCATCTCTCTGTGAAGCAGGGAGCAAGTGACAGGCTGTCATCACTTCCTACCGGCTGATAGTGGCTCTCAAAGTGCCGGCACCCCAACAGGCTCTGTTTAGTATGAGGAAAGGGGGCCACAAATCATGTATAATATCCTGGAAACCAACACACACAATTTGATATACATTGGATGTCAGAGTGTGTGTGTGATTTCCGGTATATTATACATGATATGAGGATGTCAGGGAGCCGCATGCAAAATGAGGGAGTCTCACGGAACTGCCAAAAATTTGGGAGAACATATGTACATGAAGGTTACAGTTAATTTATGCCTTTTTAATTATATTATATAAAGCCTTAAAAAAAAAAAAATATAGTAGAGGCACACTTGGTCTGTTATTTATTTATTTTTTTCTTCTTTAAATTTTCCAATCAAAGTGATTAAGAAAACTGTCTGCCTTACAACCTCCTCTCTTCTAAAGTGAGAATTCAATGTTTAGGCCAAAGTAGTCAAACTGGTAGAAAGGCTGACTATTGTGGCCTTTGGTTTGAAATTCACTTTGAATTCTCACTTTAGTGAATAACTCTGACTGTCTCCATGGGTTATTCACTAGAGAGGCGGTATGCACCCTTCAGCAATCCAGATCTTGTGGACTACATCTTACCTGATGCTTTACCAGCATTATGGCTGTAAGAGCAATATGGGAGATATAGTCCACAACTTCTGGAGTGCCAAAGGTTGCCTACCTCTGCACCAAAGTGAAAATCCAGTGTGAATTTCAAATTTAAGGTCAAATTAGCTGAATTGGAAAGATTTTTGAAGTCAGGTATACTTCCAGTTTTGATTCAATTTTGAAATACACTTTTAATTCCCTGACAATGTTATAATGTTCAGAAATCTGAGGGTAATCTATGGGGCTCCCAACAAGATTATTCACTACAGAGAAAATAGTTGTGAATTTCAAATTTAAGGTCAAAATAGCTGTTTTGTAAAAATTCTCCAAGTCACCTTTCTTTCCAGTACAGCTAATTCACTTTGAATTCCCAACAATCCTCATGACTAGCCTGGAATTTAAACGTTTATTCACTAAATTGAGAACTGAAAGCAAATGTAAATTTTATTTCTCTTTGAATCCTCTGTTTAGTGAATAAACCTGTACGCCAAATTAACATTCTCCTCTCCCCCCCCTCCAGTGCCCAATCACTTTGCCCTTGAATGAACTTCAGCTCAATGTTAGAAACCTCAGTCAGGAAGCCTTGGATATTGAGCCAAAGTTCAGGGGCTGAGCAATCAGACACTGACTTACAGACTTTGGGGTTAAACTGTTTAACCATTTCAGGTGCCCAGGAACTTCTTGCACCACAAGAACATTTTTCGTATGAAGTTTCTATGGTCCCGGCATTGAGCCTTCATCACTATTATACTCAGTGGATCCTATGAAATCTTGCTTAGAGAGTCTCACGTATGAGAAATAATTGGCTGCTCCTATCAGCCACTGGCCTAAAGAACGCTGAAACGATCTTGCGGGTTTAATGTATCTTAGGCAGAGAGAACTTGACGCTATTTTATATCTGCACTGCCATTATTGGCGGCATCAGTCTGATATGTAAATGGTATAAGTATCAGACACACAGAAAACATGTTATAGTATAAGCCTATCATTACAAATAAAAATACAAAAAGAAAAGTCCTGCGATCACTCCCATCACTCCTGGGCGGCAGCAACGACTACAGTACACATCAGCTCCAATACAAAGTTACAAATAAACATGGCTAAAAATAGCCATACATATCCTCAGGGGCTGGGCCGGGGGGCAGGGAGGCAATTGCCCCCCAGGCCGCCCTAAATTCTGTTGGGACCGGCCGCTGCATGGCCGGCCCTTTAAATGCTGCAGCCGCCTGAGCGCTCTGTTAAGAGCCTCAGGCCGGCGGCGGCTGCTCTTCCCCTGCCCTCCCCTGTAGCGTGGCCGAGCTGCTCTGCTGTCCGCGGTGCCGGCCGGATTGATAGGAAGGCGCACACTGAGTGTGCACTTCCTGTCAGTCCGGCCGGTTACAGGAAACAGAAACTCCTGTTCCGCGCGGAGTTTCTGTTTCCTGTAACCGGCCGGACTGACAGAAAGTGCACACTCAGCGTGCGCCTTGCTATCAGTCCGGTCGGGCACCGCGGACAGCAGAGCTGCTCGGCCACGCTACAGGGAAGGGCAGGGGAGAGGTGAGGAGGGGGGGGAGTAAGTGAAGGGGGGGAAGGAGTGGGGGGAGGGTGAAGGGGAGGGGAATGGGGAGGAGAAGTGAAGGAGTGGGGGGAGGCGAAGGGAGGGGGAGGAGGCGAAGGAGGGGAGGAGAAGCAAGTGAAGGGAAGCAAGTGAAGGAGGGGGGAGAAGGAGGAGGGGGAGTGGGCGAAGATGGGGTGTATGAAGGAGCGGGGAGTAAGTGAAGGAGGGGGGGAGTGAAGATGGGTGTAAATGAAGGGAGTGGGGGGAGTAAGTGAAGATCGGTAAATGAAGGAGGTGGAGTAAGTGAAGATGGGGTGTAAATGAAGAGGGGGTGTAAAATGAAGGGGTAAGTGAAGAGGGGGTGTAACGAAGGAGGGGGTAAGTGAAGATGGGAGTAAGTGAAGGGGAAGAGTAAGTGAAGATGGGGTGTAAATGAAGGATGGGAGGGAAGGGGAAGAGTAAGTGAAGATGTGGGGGTGTAAATGAAGGATGGGGGTGTAAGTGAAGATGGGGGGAGTAAGTGAAGATGGGGGGGTGTTAATGAAGGATGGGGGTGTAAATGAAGGATGGGGGAGTAAGTGAAGGAGGGGGCAGTAAGTGAAGGGGGGAGTAAGTGAAGGAGGGGGGAGTAACAGAAGGAGGAGGAGGGGGAGTAAGAAGAAGAAGAAGGGGGGTATGAAAAACGGGGGGTAAGAAGAACAAGGGGGGAGTAAGAAGAACACAAGGAGGAGGGGGGAGAGTAAGAGTGAGGAGAAGGGGAGATGAGGAGAAGGGGGGGGGACTGAGAAGAACACAGGGAGAGTGGGTGGTGAGGAGAACACAGGGAGGGGGAGGTGAGGAGGACACAGGGAGGAGAGGACACTACGCGCGCACACACACACACACACAATGCATCCCTATACATACACAGAAACACAAAATGCATCCCTACACACATAGAAACACAACATGCTTCCCTTACACACAGAGAAACACACAATGCATCCATTACACACACACAATGCAACACTTACACACAAAGACAATGCATCCTTTGCACACATACACAGAAACACATAATGCAAACACTTACACACACACTGCTTTTCTACATACATACAGAAACACAATGCATCACTAACACACACTCAATGCACACACTTACAGACACACACCTTGCATCCCTTATGCATACAAACACAGATTCACACAATGCATCCCTTACACACAACCAGAAACACACAATACATCCCTTATACACAAATACACACTGCTTCCACTACACACAAACACACTGCATCACCTGCACAAACTGGTATCCCTATACACTACATACCATAAGCACACATATTAGATCCTCTACAATAACACATAACACATCCCCTACACACTCCACTCCCTGTGAGCGAACTCATGGGTGGGTGGAACATATAAGTGGACTTATGAGTGGGCCTTGTGGGCATACTCACCGTCAGGCCCTGGGGCCCAGACCTTGAGCTGTGTAAGGGGCCCCCCAAAAAATGGAGCTGCTTCCAATTCTCCCAGAACATTGAATTTTGTGACCACAGTTGCAAACAGCCTCCAGAGATCCTGTTCTACACCAGACCAGTGGAGCCAAACTGCAGCCCATCATCATCCTCATTTGGTTGTAAGTAGGCAATCTAGTATATTATTAGTGACACTAATCTATAATTTACATTACATTAAAGGGACACTATAGTCCCCAGAACGACTGGAGCTTAATGAAGTGGTTCTGGTGTCTATAGCCGGTCCCTGCAGGCTTTTTAATGTAAACACACACTGTGGGCAGCACTGGCGTTAGTTCGTATGGCAGCTCATATAGGTGGGGCATTGTGATGTCACATGGGGGGCGGCAAATATAGCTGTTCCCCATGCAGCCACAGGTGCCACTGTGCTGGGAGATTGTGATTACTCTTGACTTCCTCCCAACTTACAGAGCAGCGCATGGAAGAGAGAGAGGAGGAGGCATGATTTAATCTTACAACAAATCCAGTAAGCAAATCTTTATAAATTTGGGTGGGATCAGGTCTGTTTCCACAGTTTATTGGTGTTTACTCTGATGTCTGTATTAATATTGAGGGATTTCTAAGTAGTAACATCAGTGTGTGTCAGCAGGGCCAGCCGTTGGGGTGTGCACGCTGTGCGGTCAAGCAGGGTGCCATCACAACAGAGGCGCCCAGCGGACAACACAGCTCACAGGTTGGGGACACCAGCCTATTCAATTTAAACGATTCGCTGGTGGTCCACTGGTGCGCACCAGCAGTAGGTGCAGTCAGATTATAGCCTCTCCCTCGTGGTTCCGGCACTCAGTTAGTGAGTCAGAGCACAGGCTCAGAGATTCTCAGCCTGCGCTCTGACAACATTGAAAGTCAGAGCCGTGAAGAAGCGGGTATGGCAAAGAGCTACTGATTAGCATAACATCAATATCCGTTATAAAACCAGGAAAAGGTGGGCACCATTGCACTGATTCGGTGATGCAATGGGCCACTTGACTGATTTTGCCCCCCAGGCCTAAGGCTGCCAGCCCTCCCCTGCATATCCTGCATAGCTGGAGTTTATAATCAGTCTGATATGTAAATGGTATAGGCTCTCTGTGTAATGAGACCTGGATGGGGACTAAGTGAAGGTCAGGTTATTGAGAGTTATCTAACCTTGTGCCCATTCTCAGAGTGTCTGCTTTTATTGTGATATAATGTAATATGTAATGTGGCCAGGGATTTCTAATAACCTTCACACTGTACAGAGCTGTGATTATAATATAATGTAATATGTAATGTGGCCAGGGATTTCTAATAACCTTCACACTGTACAGAGCTGTGATTATAATATAATGTAATATGTAATGTGGCCAGGCATGTATAATAACCTTCACACTGTACAGAGCTGATTATAATAGTATAATGTTGTAGAGAGCTGTGATTATAATATTATAATGTTGTAAATGCCATGATTATAATATTATAATGTGATCACAGCTGATCAGGGTCCATACAGTGAATGTATTGCAGGACATGCACCTTGTGCAGGAAGGGTGATTGCCTGCAGGAGGAAACTGTCATCTCTCTGCGCGCTCTCCTTACATTGGAGTCAAGCTCCGTCACACGTGCGCGGCGCAGGCGCAGTTCGCAGCGCAGACCGGGCAGCGCAGGCGCATTGCGCGCCGCTGAGTCCATTTCCTCTGAGGGCGCACGTCGTGTGCGTCATACGTGACCCGGCAGGTGGGCGGCGCAGGTTTGACCTAGAGCAGCGGCCGGAGGAGAACATGGCAGCAGCAGGAAGGCTCTCAGTGAAGGTAACACCCGAGACCCGGGGATAGAGGGAGACAGAGGGAGATATGAATTATCCTGGCTGGCATTAACGCAAATTATCCAGACTGGCATTAACGCAAATTATCCAGGCTGGCATTAACATGAATTATCCAGGCTGGCATTAACATGAATTATCCAGGCTGGCATTAACATGAATTATCCAGACTGGCATTAACATGAATTATCCAGACTGGCATTAACATGAATTATCCTGGCTGGCATTAACATGAATTATCCAGACTGGCATTAACACGAATTATCCAGGCTGGCATTAACACGAATTATCCAGGCTGGCATTAACACGAATTATCCAGGCTGGCATTAACACGAATTATCCAGGCTGGCATTAACACGAATTATCCAGACTGGCATTAACATGAATTATCCAGGCTGGCATTAACATGAATTATCCAGACTGGCATTAACATGAATTATCCAGGCTGGCATTAACATGAATTATCCAGGCTGGCATTAACGCAAATTATCCAGGCTGGCATTAACGCAAATTATCCAGACTGGCATTAACATGAATTATCCAGGCTGGCATTAACATGAATTATACAGGCTGGCATTAACATGAATTATCCTGGCTGGCATTAACATGAATTATCCAGACTGGCATTAACACGAATTATCCAGGCTGGCATTAACATGAATTATCCAGACTGGCATTAACATGAATTATCCAGACTGGCATTAACATGAATTATCCAGGCTGGCATTAACACGAATTATCCAGGCTGGCATTAACACGAATTATCCAGGCTGGCATTAACATGAATTATCCAGGCTGGCATTAACATGAATTATCCAGGCTGGCATTAACATGAATTATCCAGACTGGCATTAACATGAATTATCCAGGCTGGCATTAACATGAATTATCCAGACTGGCATTAACACGAATTATCCAGGCTGGCATTAACATGAATTATCCAGACTGGCATTAACATGAATTATCCAGACTGGCATTAATATGAATTATCCAGGCTGGCATTAACATGAATTATCCAGGCTGGCATTAACATGAATTATACAGGCTGGCATTAACATGAATTATACAGGCTGGCATTAACACGAATTATCCAGGCTGGCATTAACACGAATTATCCAGACTGGCATTAACACGAATTATCCAGGCTGGCATTAACATGAATTATACAGGCTGGCATTAACACGAATTATCCAGGCTGGCATTAACACGAATTATCCAGGCTGGCATTAACATGAATTATACAGGCTGGCATTAAAGGACCACTCTAGGCACCCAGACCACTTCAGCTTAATGAAGTAGTCTGGGTGCCAGGTCCTTCTAGGGTTAACCCATTTTTTTATAAACATAGCAGTTTCAGAGAAACTGCTATGTTTATGAATGGGTTAAGCCTTCCCCCTAATCCTCTAGTGGCTGTCTCATTGACAGCCAGTAGAGGCGCTTCTCACTGTGATTTTCACAGTGAGAGCAAGCGTCCATAGGAAAGCATTGATAATGCTTTCCTATGAGACCGGCTGAATGCGCGCGCAGCTCTTGCCGCGCGTGCGCATTCAGCCCAGGAGGAGGAACGGAGGAGGAGAGCTCTCCGCCCAGCGCTGGAAAAAGGTAAGTTTTTACCTCTTTCCCCCTTCCAGAGCCGGGCACTATAGTGCCAGGAATACGAGTATGTTTTCCTGGCACTATAGTGGTCCTTTAACATGAATTATCCAGGCTGGCATTACCATGAATGATCCAGGCTGGCTGGCATTACCATGAATGATCCAGGCTGGCTGGCATTACCATGAATGATCCAGACTGACTGGCATTAAAATGAATGATCCAGACTGACTGGCATTAACACGCATTATCCCTGGCCGGCTGGCATTAACACGCATTATCCCTGGCCGGCTGGCATTAACACGCATTATCCCTGGCCGGCTGGCATTAACACGCATTATCCCTGGCCGGCTGGCATTAACATGCATTATCCTCCAATATGGTTACCAGGCTTCTTGTTCACTCTGTACTTGGTCACATTGATAGTCCTGGCCTTTTAATGCATAGGGTGTTAGTAGATCTCCCCTTAACTCCTGAGCACCGGTTAAAAAGCTAAAGGGAGAAAAGTTATTGTCTATAGAATCAGCAGCACTAATAAGCAAAAGTAGGACAGATAAAGTAGAGAAAGCCTCTCTCGCTGTTAAACTTACTAAATAGGCATAGAAGAAGGAAAAAGTTAAATCATAACAGTGAAGTGCCTATTAAAATTGACCCATAGGAAAGAACCTGACGCGAGTTTCGGTGCTGTATATATGCACCTTCGTCATAAGGTGCATATATACAGCACCGAAACGCCGGCCTCAAATAAACTGTCTCCTTACTTTTTTAGCTGGCTCCTTGATTCCAAACAAACTTGTCAAGCCCTGCTTTAAATCACAATAGCTTTATACTAGAAACATAGATATAAATTCTGGTAGGAATATAAATTAATTCCTCTCTATAGTAAGTCACAATAGATATGTATACAAAGTATCACTTGAATAAGCAAGTCAATTGTGGAGTATCCAATTGTTCTATAACTGGAACTTGGATCAGGATCACACATGAAAGAATAGGGGGAAGGAGATAAAACAGAGGACTAAATAGTCTTCTCAGTGCCTCTGAGAGCACCCCACTGTACTCCACACGCCCTTATAGTGCTAATGCTAAGAAAGATAAATCCTAAAAGCTAGACAACTCAAAAGTTGAAATCAAAAGTATGCAAATAAAAAAACGTACTATCCTATTATTGTGTGAGACAAATCAAAAATCTATGTATGCAGAGTCCTAAAATGGAGCCAAATCAAATCATCCCTCGTATTTTATAGATCACATGCAATCAACTGACGTCCCAACGTGCGTTTTGCCACAACCGGGCTCTTTAAATTAAGAATGGTACAATCTATGTACTGTTCGTCTAAGTGGAGTTCTCCTACACTTTCATTCATTGGTATAGATATTGACATGTGGGGAGCTGCCAATTTTTTAAAGCACATTAAATTGAAACCTATACTATCCTAGATGAAATTTAATAATCTGTCTTGAATATAAGCCAAACTTGTGTGTACCATAAAGACAATGGAGAATACCATGAAAAAGGTTAGCACAATTTATAGGTAGTTATCTTTATTTTATTTAGTGGTGTAATATCCAGAGAAGGGACAACTCCCCTTTCCTGAACTGAATTTGCAGGTTGGGTAAATATTCATGTATGCATGTATAAGTAACCATGTTGGACATGATAAAACTAAGATCTGATTTTTGCATTTCAGGTTCGCGCATTCAGTACCAGCGCAGTCAGGCCGGCTTTAGTCAGGGTACGTAATCTGATTCTTTATTTCTCATGTATGTACAAGCTTTTTAAGTCTGTTTGTTAATTTGTGTGTAGTGTGTGCTCTGTTTTTCTGCCCCCCTTTTGCATAGTTTTATGAAACAAGAGGGGCTACGGTGTCTGGTGGTCCGGGGGGGGGAGTGGGGGGGGGGGCAATGGGTGCAGACAACTTTAACCTTGCCCTTGCAGTCTCTGCACTCATTGAGTCAGAGCCCAGCTGTGGGTGTTACCAGCCTGCTGTCAGTCAGTGAGTACTGAACTGCGATGGAGCAATAACTGTGGTCTACAACTGCTGGCAATGCAGACCATACACACCTAACCCTGGATCTAATCTTCCACGTCCTTGTAGCTGCCCTCCCACTTGCACACGACATGGCTAAACACAGATGAAGAAACTGGGGCCTGCCAAAAATATTAGTCCTAGGCATCAGGCATAGACATTCCACATTCCTGCTGTAATTTATAGATGTGTTGAGATTTATATTGTGAGATTTTAGCCACGTCATTTGTTTTGCATGACCTTCACTCAATGAAGTCGTTATGGGGTAGTGTGCCTTCTTACTGTACGAGGTGAAACAGATTTTGAACATTTTAAACCCAAACATATCCCCTCAGGAGCCTGTCAGCTCTGCCTTCTGTCACATTGATCAGGGCAGTTTCGCCTTGAGTGCTGGTGATAATGCTGAGAGCAATTGTCACTGGCCGCACATTGTCAATAACAATACGTACTATTATTAGCGATGGGAAGCAAGTGATAGCATGGGAGTGTCAGCTGTTTACTCCCGTGAGGTAAGATGGCTCCCAGTGACTCTAGTCCCCATAATAAACTCATTAAAGGGATTCTCCAGTGCTAGGAAAACAAACCCGTTTCCCTGACACTAGAGAATCCTGGAGTGCCCCCCTCACTCCCGCCCATCTTTCCATGTCCCTGAAGGGATTAAAATCCCTTCAGCTACTTACCTGAATCCAGCGCCGATGTCCCTCGGAGCTTGGTCGGGCTCTGCCCACGCTCCTCCCCCACTGACTACAGGGGAGAATCTGATGCTGGAGGTCCCGTGAGAACGTCCAGCGTCAAATAACGGACCAAAAGTCCGATACGAATCCGGAAGTGCCCCCAGTTGCTGTCTGTTAGACAGCCACAGAGGGCAGACTTAGAGCTTCAATGTAAACATTGCAGCACTAAGTGCAATAGAGACACAGAACCCAGGACACTTTAATTAACTGAAGTGGTCTGAGTGCCTACAGTGTCCACTTAAATGAAGTTGTTATGGGTCAGTCTGGAGTATTCCTTTAAAGGTCATTGCAAACTTATAGAAATAAGCTGAAGAATACAGTCGAAAAGTCAATGCTTTAATGTTGGTTTATGTTATAAAGATTGTCTTGAATCATTTTAATCTTGAGCATAGCACTTCTGCCTTTCATAAATGCGCCCTAAGCAAATTATGCAAGTTATATTTGAATCCTTTAAATAATAATTAGAATGGGAATTCCAAACTGTTTTAGGAAGGCATTTTAGGTGTTATTTTTAACAGATTTAATTTTATTTGTTTCTTCCCAGCCTCCAATTCAAATCTTTGGTCTGGAGGGTCGCTATGCCACTGCCCTGTATTCTGCTGCTTCAAAGGAAAAGAAACTGGACCAGGTGGAGAAAGAGCTGACCAGGATATCGGTGAGGACCTTCATGATGTGCCAAACACTCCTCATATGTGAATAAAAAATAGGGGGTCTCACACAGGGTGTGATTTTAAAATAAATACAATTTGCAAAAATAGTAAGTGGGTATGGGGACAGATACAAACTGCATTTCCACCCCTGGCTGTGTAGAGTGGTCAATGTTGGTCTCTGTAAAAGCTTTAAATATGTTCTTGCAAGTAGTAACACTGTATCAGAGCTAAATACATTTTACCATCGGTATTGTTCTTCAAGCCTGTCCTTGGGATTATTATGAAATTTGGACCTGTTAATGGCTCTCATTTTAGCATAGCGAATTAATTGGGTGCTCATACTATTTTGAGAACCCTGTGCATGGAAGCAGGACTAGATTGTAGTAAGATATAAGCTGCTCACCCACTAGACAGTTTAGTTCTGTTTCAAGTGGCAACCTTTCTTTTTAGTTTTAAATTTCACAAGGGTACTTAAAATCACCTGTCCCAGCAAACAAATATGGAGATTCAGTTCCACCATAGGGCCCTATTGTATAAAGCCCACCACTATGTCACAGCACCCCCGACATACACTAATTTTAACATGGGAGATTAACATGCTAACTGCAACACTCTGGATTCCAAATATACGTAGAACATTTAGCATTTTTCAGTAGTGGAGTTGAGGAGTCTCTGGGGGCAGTTTGGGCAGTGAGTGGTGGAGTTGACATGTTGAAATTAGTGTGGGACCAACCAATGTTTGGGTGCTGTTGTAACAGCTTCACCTTTCCTGCCCCACACAATATCTTGGATAGAAATTATTACTAACAAACTTGTGCCAGTGCATTAAATTCCAATGTCTTGTGTTTAGGAAATCGACCTATTCTGTTATAAAACAAGAATAAGCAACGACATTATAATATTTTCAGAAAAGGGCAGTAAGAAAACGCACACAAAGATCTCCCTCTCTCCCTTCTCCCCTCTCCCTCCTTAAAAAGCAGAGAATTATAAAAGTATAAATTCTTGTCAGAAGAGTAAATACAAATATAACATACCAATTGTAGATTTAGGATCTATCCATAGAGTTCAGAATATCTGATCCAAATTATTTAAACATAGGATTCCTTATATAAACTAGTAATTTATGAATGCTAATACATTTCAATACGCAAGCAACTTATGCTAACTTAGGCCAACTCTAATGTGGCATTTTACGTAATCGAGTAATGAACAAGGTCATTGAACTAAAGTAGCATTTAAAGTTGACCTTTTATATGAAAGTATGAGTTCAAAATCCTAAACGAATTAAAATAACAAAACTTGGTTTGTCCACTAAGAAAATATTTTGGCTTCTTACAAGGCAATTCTGATTCTCGGGCACTTAGAGCAGATTCTCTGAGCTGACTGACCTTGTATTCAGTAAACTAACTGCAAATGTTTATATACATCAATAGAACAAGTATGTGAACGTGTTTTAGCTTACAAAGAAAGGAATACAATTCTCGCTCAAAGTAGCCATTTTATATCCAAATAATATACATTATATATTTTGGTGTGTATGTGCTGTGTGCTTTAAGCTATAGCCATTACCATGCTGTAGTGTTTATGGTGCTTAGTGCCCCTTTAAGATACCTTCTCTCCCCTTTTGTGGCATAAAAAAAAGTCACAAAAACCACCACTGCTTGGGTTTTCCTTTTGCAGAAATAGACATTAGAAAGTTTGATCTTGATGGATTTGAGTCTTTCCTTTTTCGTCATCCTATATTACAATGTAAATCACTTCGTAATTTAAACAGGAAAGGCGTTTCAGTGAATGCTAACTCGGACCTTCATTTAAGTTTTCCAAATGATTCAATACTGTTCGAAAAACTGAAGAAGTCACCATTAAAGTTTATGGCATCATTTGCTGATGCATCATTTGTAACGCTTTTCTAACCGTATTGAATAATTTGAAAAGTGAATTAATTAGCTGAGATAATTATGTAAATGAATAGTCCACTTTGTTTTTCATGCAGTTTCATAATCCACTGACTGTATAACATATTTATGTTTTAGGCAGTTATTAAAGAGCCTAAGATTTCTGGCATCATCATAAATCCCCACATCAAGCGTGTCTTGAAACAGAAGGCACTCAGTGAAATTTTGGCAAAGGAGAAGCTATCTCCAATCACGTCAAACTTTATCAGTAAGTATATTGAAATTCTTTGAAGTATCTCTTAGTACAATGATTACATTGTAGCACTGCAAGATTATATTTCCAATAGTGCTGACAGTCATCACGGCTTTATATAATCTGTAAATGTAGTATGTTTGTACCGGTTTATACTAGTTTCTTTGCATGAATAATTATACATATTTACAACACACTCACCACGTCCCCTGGTTTTGTAGATTTGCTTGCTGAGAATGGTCGCTTGCGTAAAACCTCAGACATATTTTCTGCATTCGCAAAGATGATGAGTGCACATCGAGGGGAGGTGCTATGCTCGGTCACAACTTCATCGGTAAGTCAGAAATGTTTCCCATTTCCTGACCTAAGCCATAAATTTCCACATTCACAGAAACTTGCATTGTCTTTTTAATCTGACCAAAGAGTCTCTCGCCGTTGGCAACATAACCACTACGGTGTGCTGCAGTGATTATTGTACTTGTAGTGTTCCTTTACTTCAGATTGGAGGGAAAAAAGTAAATATAGATACCCAAAATGATAATGCCTTCTATTAGTACTAAGAGGAGCCAAGTAGCATCAAGTTAACCTCTTTAGGACGGAGACAAAACAAAATCTAGAATTTGAGCTATATGTCTGTTCAACCATAATTGAGCTCTTTCATATTAATTGTACCCACACGTATTATATAGTAGAAATAGGGTTTTCATTTCACATCAAATATTTATGTATAGAACACAATTTAATATGAATAAAATCTAAAAGTGTGAGAAATTAAGAAATGTTATTTTCCAACTTATGCGTGGCATTGTAACTGTGAATGTCATAATACTGTTGGTTTTTACTGCAGTACAACACATACATTTGTATGCTGTGATGTCCCACGAGTACAACGATGTCCCCCATGTACAGGTTTTATGTTGGAAAGTTACAAGGTCAAATATATGGATTGCTCATTTCAGTTTTTACACATTGAAATTTGCCGGATTGGTTTGCTGGGCCTATGCTGCCTTTTAGACCGTATGGCAGCCCAGGAATGAGAATTACCTCTGTCATGGCATACCATTTCCAAACGTAGACAAGCCATGGTATTCAAAATGGGTTATGGTCAGTACAACAGTACCCCTATGTTTAGGTTTTATTGAAATTTACCGGGTCAAATATAGGGCTTGCAAATTAAATTCTCTGGTATTTCTGCCTAGAATTTCTTACCCCTCTGGGTGTGTGTTTTTTGTTTTTGTGTATTCCTTATTCTCGGGTACTCGACCAGAGATCTGAGGGTCCTGTGCAGTATCTTAGCTGTTCCTAGAATTTCACTCATCTGGACAGCGATTCTAGATGTCTGCTAAAGCCACTCCCCAAACTTGGGGGTCACAGCCCCGAGTGCTCCTATCGCAACTGGGACTACTACTGCCTTTACTTTCCACATCCTTTCTAGCTCCTCTTTCAGTCTTTAGTATTGATTCGCCATTTCATGTTCCTTCTTCCTGATGTTATGGTCACTGGTGTTCCTGATGTTATGATAGTGCAACATTCGCCTACACCGCAATTTTTCATTCCTTGTATACCAATACAATGTCGGTTTTGTTGGCAAATAGTTTTGTCTGGACCTGAAAGTCCCACAGGATCTTAGCCCTGTCATTTCTCACCTACCCTCTGTGGTATCTCCCATCTGGACATGAGTAGGTCCAGCAGATATATTGGTACACAATCCCAACAACTTGGTTGTGCCTCTCGGTGTATCCTGTCCCTGTTAACATCTTGCACCTGGCTATGTGCTAGATTGTCTCAGAGGCCTATTTGCACATTCTGCACCTTGGGTCCTATCTGGTGTGGTAGACCCCCTGCTTCTACTGATCTGGTGCAGAATGCCTGTTTCTGAGCTGCTATGATTAGTGCTTCAGTGCTGTCTTTTTAGTCATATTTTCCAAGCACTGTTAGGATTTCGTAATGTGAACCACATCCAAAATCTGCTGGTGGCACACCCCTTGGAGAGGTTTGTCTTGCCATGGCATAACACCTCATTTTCTGCATCCTCTATCTGCTGTTGTCTCAGGCATTCCCTTAGTAGTTCATCTTTGGCTGCCAAAGATATATATGTGTCCCTACAGTGAATCTGTCAGTCATGCCATTCCCAGTCATGTGATAGCAGTGTCCTCACAATTACATGACTTGGATCAGCATGATAGACTGGCTTCAGGCAGATCCCCCTTGATTTGATCTGGTAAGGAGGGGTGAGTATTTGTGCTGGAGAGAGGGCCAGATTGTTATGGCATGCTGTGCCACCTGAACGGCGGTCAAGTTCTATTTTTTTAGAAAGGCATGGCATGCCCTAACCTCAAGAAGGGGTTAATTGTCTCTGTTCCTGTTTATGCAGCCCTAGCATTACTTTTCCTGGCTGTTACACAGCCTAAGTGGAAAAAATGGGTTAATTTTCAGTTGGTTGTGAAGGCATAGTGTGTTTACATTAGATGTTGTTATCGCCTGCTCTATTAATTGAACTTGAATGACACACAGGAAACTCCTGTAGGCTCTTGCAGTCCATTAACAGAGCAGGGGATAAGCAATTCTAAATTAAAGACTGTACAGTGAAGGAAGTTTAGACATGAAATCTGTTTACAGGAAATGTGACTGTAGGTCATATGCAGGGAGGTGTAAGAGGCCTGCATACATAAAGTGATTTAACTCCTAAATGACATAATTGAGCAGTGAAACTGCATGGCATGATCTTTACACAGAACCACTAAGCTAAAGTGTTGGTGCCTATAGTGTCCCTTAAACCAGTTGCTTTGTCTTTTTTTTTTTTTTTTTTTTAGCAAGTAAGCATCAACTTTTGGGCTTACGCAGAAGCCAATTTGAATATAATTTTTGGTATTGTCATGCAGTTCAAACAATACAATACATGCCCATTCTTGATGAAACCATTAGGGCCTGCCGTCCATTAAGGGTTTTTATATATGTAATATAATTCCCCATTGTTTCGGCTCGACAGGAGTAATCAAATGTGCATTAGTAATGTCGCTTGCGCAGAAGCAAACTTTGGTATTACATTTAAGTGTATAATATGTTGTATTTGAACCTTGTGGTATTTGTCTTGACATCTTTAACGTCAGTTTCCCATCGATAGTTTTATTTTTTTTAGGCTTTTAGGTATATCAATAGGAGTCCTAGTCCAAGATCTGTATTATATTTCAAGGTCTCCCATTTCCTTCGTTACGTTGACCATGCCTGAAGAGGTTTATATACGAAATATATATTAAATCAGGAAAGGAATCTTTCCGTTAGGAGTCGGGAAGTGAGAGAAAGGAGAGAGAGAGAGACTGAGTAGATAGTACGAAAGAAAAGAAAATAAGAGAAAGGGTGCAGCAGCCGGGAAGCGGCGAGAGAGAGAGGCTAGGGGGCGAGAGCTGGAGGGACAAAGGGCACTTCCAGGACCCCTTATGCCATGCGTGATGACTTTATCCCCTGGTAGGAGGGGACCCCCGTTACTATGTCACCTTTACTTCTTCATTTCAGTCTTATCTGTCTTCCCTGGATCCCACTACACTATTATCCCATGGCTCCCAAAGTCTTAGAAATGTTTCTGTCGATCCCTTCACTCTTGCTGTCAGGTCGTCCATTATCCTACATTCGCGGATCCTGGATATCACTCCCGGAAACTCTGGTCCGTCTGGTGATAGCCACCCAGTTGCTATTGTTCGTCGCGCGCTTAGTTATTTTATGGATTAGTTTCTGCTTCCTCCTGGTCCATCCATCTATAGACCTATTTAGTAGGTATACCTACGGATCCCTGGCTAGTGGCCTGTTAAATATTTGTTTCAGTAGATCTTCAACTGCTTTTCAAAATCTAACAATTTTCGGGGCTTTGTCTGTTTTTTTAAAGTTGTTTAGTGGATAAAACTAATGTTATAATTAAGATGGGAAAATTAGTGTTTGTCTCTTTATATTTTAGCCGTTGGATGAGGCAAACCTGACCGAATTGAAAACTGCTCTCAATGGCTTCCTAGCCAAAGGAGAGATCTTGAAGCTGGAGACCAAGGTATGAAACATTCAGAGTTTAATTAGAATTGCTTTAAAAAAAAGCATGAAACTTGTAAATAAATGTATTCTTTTCTCCAGACTGACTCTTCTATCCTCGGAGGAATGATTGTCAGCATCGGTGACAAGTACGTTGACATGTCCACAAAAGCAAAAATCCAGAAGTTGAGCAAGATCATGAAGGATACTGTTTAAATCTAGCTGTAACTGCTCTTATTTTATCCCCCTGTAATTCCTGCTGGGGCTCCTACAGTAAATAAATAAATAAATATTGTCCTGAAGTGTCTATTGCTGTGATATTTGTTTAAATAAAACGAGGACAATGTCCATTTGAGGTTACTAATACTATTCATCTTTAATGATGTGCGACCACATAACCAGCACGTGTATTGAATACATTTTCAAATATTGCGTCTGGACCTATTAATTGAGACTTACACACATTTAATAATTCTCACTGTTCAATCTCAGACTGGCACGTATACTGCTGTGAGGATAATAGTTTGTGATATGCCCATGGCTTGAAGTTAAAAGGGAGTTAACCGAAAATGTAGCCTGAACAACTTTGTAATGAAGTGCAATATTGTAGTATTTCACCAATAAGTGAAATAAATACTTCCTTTTTGCAAAAACGGAGGAATTTAGTCACTTAAGTCTGCATATATTAATAGAATAGCAAACTTTGATGGGGTAAAAAAAAAAATCACTATTTTCCCCATATTTGCAGATCCATAGGGAAGAATGATTATCAACAAATGTGTTTTCAATTTGGAAAAATCTAGTGGTGGTTATAAAATCAGAAAGTCACATGCAAATATAAGATTTACATATTAAGTACTGAAAACTGACTAAATTCATGCTGATATATTCCAGTAGAGGTTACATTTCCATATTTCCCTGCTTTTTTCCGGGCAGAAGTGCATTAATCTGCAATATTAGCCTCCCCCAAAATTCCCTAAAGGCTGTAAAAGCACATTAATCATTACAGCGAGCGATGGTGCTAGGATTTCCTTGGCAAACAGTTTAGTAAGCGGTTCACACTAATCTAGCTCTATTGTCTCCTGTGGTCCATCCTGTCTGCACTAATATTAAGCAGAAGTCCTATTTCAGCATTAGCAATATCAAGCTTGTACACTATTGGCTAAAAGTGTCGTCAGCTGACACTGTATCGTGGTTGATGCTCTAAATACTGAGCTGTGTCGCTGAAATTAGTTCGAGACACACTATTATGAAAAGAAAAACAAAGGGGAAGACCTAGGGCAAAAAGAGGGATCTCCCCTCCTCCCACAGGGTCAACCGACTAGGAAACCCCTACCTAGATGTAATGCTAAAACTTAACCTTTAATGAAAAATACAATAAAATCATAAATACAAAAGAACAATACACTTAATTAAAAGGAGGAAGAGGGTGCAGACAACTATCAAGCAGAGTGTCAGGTAAAGGATATATTATATTGCAGTAATAAGACCACCTAGTGATATTGGTAAACTTACTAGAATTGTGGCGTGTGACACCCTTACTGTAACATATAAAGTGCATATAACCGGAGTTTCAGTATTTTTAGAACAGTGGTTTATGGGTTGTTTCCCCCTCTTACATTTGGTAGGTTCCTACAGGAGGTTTTTCTGACTCATTCATGTGGGTATTTTATATATACCTTTCCTAGCTCTTACCTACACCCCTGATCTTAGCCCTACAGGGTTTTCCAGTTATATGCACTTTATATGTTACGGTAAGGGTGTCACACGCTGCAATTCTAGTAAGTTTACCAATATCACTAGGTGGTCTTATTACTGCAATACAATATATCCTTTACCTGACACTCTGCTTGATAGTTGTCTGCACCCTCTTCCTCCATTTTAATTAAGTGTATTGTTCTTTTGTATTTACGATATTTTATTGTATTTTTCATTAAAGGTTAAGTTTTAGCATTAAATCTAGGTAGGGGTTTCCTAGTCGGTTGACCCTGTGGGGGGAGGGGGGAATCCCTCTTTTTCCCCTAGGTCTTCCCCTTTGTTTTTCTTTTCATAATACATATGACAGGTTGCCCCTGACATACACTTGGCTGGTTGCCTTTTGGCCACTAGCTGTTTATCAAGAGACACACTAGGCAAAATTATTTAAAAAAAAAATTTTTTTTGACCAATCTATTTCTACAACATCATATTTGCACGCTAATGTACTAGAATCCAATAGTACAGTGTGTATAACAATAAAAACACTGACAAGTGTATGTATTTCACCAGTATTTCATAAACTTTTATTCCCCACTAAAACATGAAATTCTTACATCACAGAATAGGCAAATAAAGATATGTGAACAAATCAGGTCTTAAAGACTCAGTACATTTTGCACAGCAATTTATTAAGGGTGCAAGTCAGTTTGTCTTTTCTATATGGGACCTATTATTTAGTCCGTGCCATCTCAAAGCAGTAGGAGATATTACTAAACCTATTCGTGGCATCCTAAGTTAGTCCCAAAATCTAAACCGTAGAACAGGATAGAACGAAATCCAACCTGGTTGAATTTTACTTTTAAACAAAGAAATTTACAAATAACAGCTAGAATACATAACCATTCTCTTCTAGTAAACACAATGTTTGAGGACAAATGATTAAACATAGCTTGAAAATGATACTGTAATCTTGGTATGAAACAAAATGGAAAATAGTTTTAGTCTGAAAGTGCTGGGAGAAAAAAAAATTTAAAATACACGCTTAACATAACCAAACATGTGACAAGAGAATCTCGAAGGTTATAAACACAAAGAAAATTGTGGCGAATTCAAACCCATTACATTACCTAATAAATAAACACAAAAACATTAAAAGTATGAAGTGTAAACTTTGTATTTGAAATTTAATTTACATTTCAAAATACATTATCTTATATTACAGTGGTCTAGAGCCAAATCTCCCACCCAACATATTTATATGTTAAATACTTTGTGCAATGCTATGTGTCCATTCCGGACAGTAAAAAGTTGGACATAAAGGAATAATAAACCATTTTAAGTACTAAAGAGTAAGCAACCTATAATTGCATTGTAATATGTTTATTCCACAGTATCTTAATAAATTACATTTTTTTTTTCCTTTTGGCCCTTGTAGTACCATTATATATATATCTCTAAAATGCCAAACTAGACCGTAGGAATCAGTAGTTAAAAGAATGTTTGACAAAATATTAGATCGAGGGTCAACCATATTATTATTATATTTTTTTCAATTCAGCCTCAGGATTGAAAAATCTCAAAGGCTGCCCCTCCTGGTAAACATCAGCTTTGGGACGTGTGTAGTTTCACAATTCCGTGTTAAGTACCACACATGTATTATGTTTAATTTCATTTCACATTTCCCAATTAATCAAGTAGACACTCACAAACATTACAGGCATTTAATCAAGGTGTGAACGTCAAACATAAGGAGTGGTTCTCTGGCAGAAAACATACATATCTGTTCGGTTATAATGGAATGCTGACAACCAATAGGCAACAATAGTGGAGATGAGGCCTTTAAATTGGCTGCAAATTGGTTACTTTTTTTGTTGTAAATTTATATTTATAACAGAGTAGCATGTTCCCTAAAGGATAATTGGGAAAATTGCAAATGATCTGTCCGTTTTTATTTCAGTGTACATGCTATTTCTTTTTTTGAGCTTAAGTTGAAAATAAATCATTTAGAAAATTCTAAGGTTGACTGACTGGATTTGGGGTCTTTAAGGCGTCTTACACCAACCATGATGGCAAACATTTTAAAAATGAAAATTGTGAGCTGTTTAGTGTAGCAGAGGTTCAGTTATCCATAATCAGAGCAGTAACTGTAGTCAATCAGTAATTAGCTGTGTTTTACTTAAAGCGATTGACAGGATGTCTATTCCTTAAACCCAAGTTGCACCGTGGTGAACAAAAACCTTGGAGACTTCCTGATTATTGTAAAGGTCCTTGCAGGGTCAATCGGTAAGTCTACAGTAATAGGTATTGAGTTCTGAGATACTGCACGGCTGTCCAAAGTCAACGGGGACTCAGCTGTAAATTCTAAGTGAAATCAACCAGTAATACATTTCCCTGAATGTCTGCTAAGTAACCCAACTAGACAGCACTCATGGTTAAGTAAATAGAGACCATGTCCTTTCACTAAATTCCAGATTCTAAAGGTAGTAGGTTAACCTTACTTAACTACTGTTAATCCAAAGATTGTAACTTTGGAACATAGACATACTTGCAAGTCCCAGTGCTGGCACATTAACTTGTGGAGTACTTGATGTCTCACAAAATTGGTTAAATGGTTTAGATCGTATACAATTCATAGATCGCTTTGCAGCCAGGATCAATGTAACATGTTAAAAAGGGACTACAACGGTTATGCTGATAGTGGAACAAGCTTCTTCTTCAGTTACAACTGCTATTAGTTTTGTCCAAGAATTCTACCAATATCTAGAAGTTTTGTGTAATTCTAATTCCAGCTGCAAACCCTCGAGGCCCAGGCCTCTACCAACACACTGCACACAGGGATTTGAGATTGTTGATCATAACAACCCCAGATATGTATAGTGAACTATACCTGTGAGGAATGAGACATTGAATATTTAGACCAAGGAGCTCTTGGAGAAGATGAGGTTAAAGAGTTCCCCAAGAAAAGAGATGTAAAAGTCTCAAAACAATCAGTGTGTTAAATGGTAGAAAAACAATGTTTTATGTGGACGGATATTGAATCCAACTGAAATGCTGCTCCAAACTTTTTTGCAAAAATCTAATTAAAACCCTGGAATCTATTCTAGCACAGTTCCAGTAAAACCAAATGTAGTTTAGAGTTGTTTGATGAATACTTCCATTGATTGCCATGAGGTGTACTGGATCTATTGACGCACCATACACAAAATTGTTTGCCTAATCTATTCCTAGGAGGGAGGGGTACATACATTTTCAACCAGAGTACCACGTGTTCTAGGTTCACATACGACCTATTCTGACTTCACACTTAAAAACATATTTAAAAAAAAAAACAAAAAACAGTGTCTCAGCAAGAAATTAAACATACAAATCAGGATTCAGATGAGGAGAAGAGGAGGCTTCAATCTGGGACTGTAAACTCCTTTGGCAACCTTAAAGTGTGAAAAATTGAATGATTACTCCCTCTAGTGGCACAAAATGCAATAAACCCACCACAGGGTATGAAGGACAAATATCCCGTACGTAAATAAATTCTTACTCAAAACATAAATATTGTATCTTTACCTCCGAAATATACAGATCAGCATGACCTGTCACAGCTTCACTCCTGCCTATAATAGGCAGATAAACCATTAAACAGCTGGGAAGTAAATACACTGTATTAATTACCAACTGTGATATATAAAGTCATTAGTCTCTTATTATTTACGTAATTTTCCTCAGGTCTGGGTCTCATATTTTAGGTCAAATAACCCCTTTAAATTAAATGTATGCACTTCCCAATTACAGTCCAGTGATGGCTCACTCCGGCACCAAAGCATTTTGTCAGCTACAATTCCTATGACAGCCTTAAAGGGTGCCAAGGCAGCCATCTATGTTATTGGTATTATTCAGTGTAAACCATACTTTTATTAATCAAACATTAACATTTAGTTTAAAACAACACATCAAGTTAGTAATGCAGTGAGCTCTACAACATTTTCTAAATGTTGGTTTCACAGCAAAGATCACAGTTATTTGTAATCAGAAAAAAAGACACATTTCTAAATTCTAAAATGAAGTCCCACATATAAAACACGTACATTTTCGTAGAAAATGGCAATTTCAATTAAAAATCTGTGATGCTAAAACATAAACGTTGGACTCCGGTTTTGGCAACAGCCTTGATAAGATGAAGTACCGTTGGTGAAAAGCTTATCGAGCGAGTGACTGCCTCGATGTAGCAGAAGTGGAATGTGGTCTTGTGCAATCCCTTTTACGGTTCATCGAACAATTGCAAATCCAATCGAACGACTATCTCCCCGGTTGGGACTTCGTGCAAAAGGAGACACTTTGTAACAGGTCCTTTAGAACCTTGGTCCTTCTTAATATCTGCAACTCGAATTTCTGTCCTCCCCAGAAAATCTGAAAAGGGCAATGAAATTAGAAAAGCTGAAAATGTGTTATATTCATTAATTACAATCTATCAGAAATTTATGGATCAACTATTATTTCTTTTGAATTTTTTTACATTTCAGAACCATATTTGTGTCTTAATTATTCAAATATATGGCAGTATATTTTCTGCCAATTTATTACATTACATGGTCTATGTGTAATTGTAAGGAACCTGATGCTATTTTTGGGCATGTGAGTGAGACAACCATAACATTTAAATAATATGTATTTTTGGGCATATTTAGTTTACATATTGTTAGTACAGTTACACTAACAATTTACACAACACATGGCAGCACAGAAATGTTTCCAGCCTGCTGTGTAATAATATCAGTCTACTCCCCACAGCTTCGAAGACACAAGAAGAAAAGCAATGTAGCATGACTAACAAAAGTCTCTGTGTTTTCTGAGAGAAGGGACAGCATTTACAGTTTAGCAGAAGAGAAATAGTAAGACCATCTCTGCTGGGTAAAGATAAATGCTGAAACAAATTGGAATAAATAATAGTATTAGAAAAAGGGTTCAGGCACCTTTATTGGAAAACTGCAACGTTTCGACTCCTAACGGAGTCTTTGTTAAGAAACAAATGGGAAGGCAGGTGGGGTTTTATGGACTGCATGCCGACGTGTTTCACAAAGCAATGCTTGTAAATGA